AGGTGGGACAATATCTTTCTAATTACATCACACTGGCTTTTTTAGGGGGAAATAATGGGGAATTTTGACTGTCATTGCAGTTGCATTGTAAGCTGCTTATCCACCATAGTATGCAGCTATTTGATAAAATAGTGCAATTAATTTAAATGTCTGTGCAAATAATTTCTACCAGAAGCAAGAAAAGATTCATAATATGGCCCTTAGTTAGTTTTGGGGTTGGGGTGGAGGGGTATGGTTTCTGCCCTAGATGTTATTTTTTTCTTGCACCTAAGAATTTAATTTTGAAGGATCTTTTGAGGCAGAATTTATTTATATTTGTAGAGTGCTCTGAGATTCCAAAATTAGAAGTGCTAAAAACTTTGAAAGGTCTTGTTACTCTTCCCCACTAATTAACATCACTGTGATGGGATGGGAATTTGTAGAGTAGGCTGACAGTTCTGTGTAATGATCTTATACTGTAGATGACAATACCTGTGCTTTCTGGTGATATTTGCATTGTTTAGCCAAGGCAAAGTAGAGAACATCTTTTTTTTCTGCTGGCATGGAATTACAAGGGCTTGGCAAGGCAGATCTGAGAGAGAATGGCTGGCAAATTTTTTATTGACAGAATTTGTCAACAGTTAAAGGTGAGAAAGGACAATAAATGGGAACGATTAGAGCATTTTTTTTCATTTTAAAATGGATGAATAACTTCTCTAGGCAGAAATACAGCAGAATGAATTATAATAAACACAGTGTTTTGGTAAATTATCTTTGTTAGTGAGGAAAAATCAATGATGTATTCTTTTTATATGCAGAATCCAGTTATAGGATACCTCATAAAAATCATCCTTTTAATCCTTTTATAAAAGTAAGTTAGGGAAACTATACTTCAGATCACAGTGTTTCATTTTCTTTTTGAGAATAAGTTTGAATGGCAGAAATGGCAAAATCATATTCCTGTTGATTCTGAATGGTACTTTAGAGTAACTCCCTCAGTTTCAAGTTGGGGTAAAAAGAAAAGGTTTGTGTGTGATTGAATTTAGCCACTGACTCTCTGCAACAGCTCACCTGAGTAGGCCAGCTAATGCAAACAGCTCTGTAGACCTGAGCAAGGCACCCTTCTGCAGGGCAAGGGAAGAGGTTAGATGTTTTTGGAAGCTGGAATTAAACTTTATGTCAGTCATGCCAGAATGCAACATGAGCTGAGTGCTGTTCTCTGTCTTTTTTATTAAGGTTCCCAAAGATACTGGCAAAATATTACAATTATCTTCTTTTTAACCTCCAAGTTCCAACACAACTCCAGTGTTGTTTCCAAAGTAACATGTCCAGGCACACTCCTTAGCATAGTTCTGAAAATTGTAGGAGATAATTTGGCAAACTTATGAATGACAAGTTTGACATTTGGGGTGATGTTGAGATAGTTGAATACAACCACCTCTAACTCTGTATTGTGGGTAGTAATAAAAATACACTTTTATGAAGGAAGTGGGCAGATACATGGGACTAGTTCTACCTTGTTACTGTAAATGCATGGAGTTATACAAGTGTAAAGGCAGCATACAGGAGAAAAATCCATCTAGAGTGTTTTGAAAGCACATACAGTCTCATGGGTTTTATGCTGCTGTGTTGCTGAAAGTAATGCAAACACTTCTGGCATGGTATTTTTGTACCGTTCCCTGGGCTTTTAGCAAGGAGCAAACATACACAGGTTGTCGAGTTTTTTTCCTGGTGTGGAGACTCAAACCAAGGAGAAGGAATGGTAGCTTGGTTTGAGGTGGTTCTGTTTCCACCGACCAGATTTATTTTGCCAATTAGAATCACGGTGAGAGTCACTATGAGATGATGCTGAAGAGAATGTTTGGTGGAAAATGCTTCACCTATTTGTTACAATTCTCCCAGCAGGTGTTTAGTTGTAAAACAGTAATTTAGCGTATAGAGTAACCTAGAATCTCTGCCAGATGCTTATTCACCTATGCTGTTGGCTTAAGTGAAAATACAGATGACTGGACCAAACTTGACGTTTGTAATGTCATTAGTCATGGGAATAAATGGGATTCTTCATGGTTCATTTTCCTTTAAAGATAGGAGGAAATAAAATTCAAATGAGTTAATGTTGCAGGCTTAGGATTTCCTGTATTTTTCTAGAAACAATTTCACATAAATTTTTTCAGGCTTTTGACTAACGTGGTCTTTAAAATCCTGACTAATTAAAAAAGAACATAAGTATATCCTGTTTTATGTGGTTTTAAGCATAACCCCAACGCTCTAACTTTTCCAAAATAGTTCCTCAAGACCTCCAGTCTGCTTTAAGCCATTTTTCATGCATTTGTTTGATTATCTGAGCTCTGCAGTTGGATTTTTTCTTTCAAATTAATTCCTTGATTTGTGAGATGTCATTGTGTTAGATTCCTGCTTGAACCAGAAAGTACAGCATTTATAGCAGTGGGACTCATGGCAGAGCACCCTTGCTTAACAGCCAGTGTCTGATGTACTTCTCTATGCTGTGCTGGGCTGAAAAGAAGTAGTTAGAACCAAAAATTCACATCCTCAGTGTTTTTAGCTCAGGTACCAAGGAAGAGGTACATGGCAACAGTTCACAGATAGGTGAAAAGGTTTTGCAAAGTAAAATGAGAAGCATGCCTTAAGGAGTGTGTTTGTTAGTCTTTCAGCAGTTCTTTCTAAAATTCTCATTTACTTTAGATACATTTTGTATATCTAGGTTTTGTTCTCTGACAAATTCTGTTCAATAACTGGTAGAAATCGCAGATCCGAACAAAGAGGTTCCAGATACCACTAGCTTTTACGCTAATGGCTGTGTAAGATTTTCCCTATTTTCCTTCTGCCTTGTCCTGCTTCACTTTTTGGCATTCCTGTGGCTCATCTTTTTGATATACAATATATTTCCATGGTGCATTTGTATGTTTGTCCACTTTGTGAAATTTCATTTCAGCTGTGCTACAGTGTACTCGCTGTGTATGTTGTACACTGAGAATCTATTGTCCTGTCATTTGATCTTGATTCCACTCCTTCCCAAGATAATGTAACCTCCATGTTTTGACCTTCTCACTCCCTTTCAGCATTTCTCCAGAGTACTGATCAATACCTGCTGCTTTCCCTTTATTCAGATGATGGATCGTTATGGATAACTGTGTAATCTTTGCTGTCCTGTTCACCATCAGATTCTCCAAGCACTGACCTTCATACAGGAATTCTTCAGATGGCATCCAGGAGCCATGCCTGTTTCCAAATACTGAAGGAATTTCTCATAGGGTCTCTTGTTATTTATTTAGATTTCCTGAAAGAGAGAAAGCAAAGCATAATAGAAGTGAAACATTTTGAGTTCTGACCTCTTGTAGGGTTCCATAAAGCTTCACCAGCTGAGTGTCATTTGATCCCCTTCTATGTTTCTGTAATCTGCACTTGACCTAGTTTTAAGTGTGATCCAGCACTTTTCTACAAGTTAGTTACACGTGACTAAGTGTTTAAGTATTTACAGGAGATGCCTGAGAAAATAAGGTATTTACTACCCAAAGAATGTAAGTCTGGTGTTGAAGCTGCTTTCTGGTGCTCTGAAGTGACTCACACAGAGTCAGAAATGACAAAAATCTTCAGAGGAATTTTTCTTAATCCTACAGAAAGCCTCCCACTTTTACTCTGAGAAATCAAGAAAAGCAGATTTGTTCTTGCCACATAGTTAGCCAGAGTCATGACATTGATACTAAAATGGAAGGTAGAATACACCTACTTGTGCTTAAAGTTAGGACCAACAGAGTGCTATTTTGAACTAAAGGAAGGAGAAATAATGAGCAATTCTTATTTTGTGAGGGAGTGGGCACTGACCAGATAATGCTAAATCTGAATGCAACAGCATCCAGCAGAGAGGCTGCTGGAATTGCCTAGGCACAGGCTGGTAACCAGGAGGAACTGACAAATCTGAAAAAAGGTGAATGATTTTAAATGAGCACCAAACCTCCACAACACCTCTAAGATTATTCTCTAAAAGTTCATATTGAATTGCCTTTTAAAATGTCTTACGGGTTTGGTTTTTTGTGGGTTTTTTTTCATTCCAGATCTATGTAACATGCATTAATTTTTAGAGCTGTCCCCTTCTATTTTTTCTCCTTACTCTGTGCATTATATGTATTTGTATCCAGCTGTGACTTGCTGGGGTACATCATGGATTGGTCTGTACAGTAGAGTCATGAAGTATTTATGACTAGATCTTAGTCTCAGATGGATAAAATTGCACCAATATCTCATGATAAAACCAAAATAGACAGCGTCCTAAATATGACTGAATTTACTTAAAATAATTGAACTGATAATATGTAATAGTACCAGAGTCTCAGTAAGACCCCCTGAAATTATCTTGATTTTTACAGGACTTTGTCAGCATAACTTCTTAACATTCATATTAGAAAGCAGCAAATGAAAACAAAAAGCAAGTTTCTGGTGGAGCGTGTGTGCTAATTTTTAGCACATTGTCCTGTCAGATTTGTTCAATTTTATTTTTGCTTAGTCCATCTGAAAGGTGCCAAACTGAGAGTAGTGTGGGAACTACACATTATGCGCAGTGTGGGAGAAAGTGATCCACATGCTGTCCTTTGAACATACACAGATGAATCGGGATTGTTGATTCTCACACCTCTACTGGATTTTGTGATACTGAGATTTGTGATAGTTATCATCTAGATTCTTCTTAAAGCCTTAATTCTTAAAATCTACAAATTGCTTGGAAATGTTGGCTTTTCTCATCATCTTTCCTTGTTTTTCTTTTCCTTCCTTTGTTTATTTTCTTTCTCTTTTTTTCCCTTTTTCTAGCTCTCTCTTTTTCTGTCTAGTAATTTTATTATTTACATGGCTAGAGAAAAGCTTTAAAATGTATTCTGAATACATTAAAAAAAGGTATATCTTACTTCATTACTTTAAAGCCAATTCAACTTTTCAGTGGACCATAGACCATATATAAGCAGAATTTTCTGTTTCTTTATCCCAATACCAGTACAAGCTACCCTCCTCAGATGGCACTGAGTCCTCATGAGCTTGGGGAAAAGGAGAGAAAGAAATTCTCTGGAAAGCATCCTGACAAGGTAAAAAGGTATTTTGAGCCTCTGGCTGCTGCTGCAAAATGTTCTTCTGCCTGATCTCACTAGATCTTCGCCCTCTGCATAAAAATCAGCACCACATTTAACTGATCTGGAAGTGTAGTTGGCTGAGATGTCAGGAAAGCTGATTCTTGTTTCCATTTTAGATCTGTTTAAAAATAAATATACATGTATTGACATATACTCATGAAACAGGTACTAGAGGGTTTGGGATTTTTTTTTTCTTCTGACTTCGTAGAACAGTATGAATTTTTTATTCACTTGGAAATGACAAGCTGTTTTTAAGTGATGGCTTCGTGTCAGTGCTAAAGGCTGCAGCTATGATTGCCAGAGGGATGAAATGCCCATTAAAGATGGCAATTTTACTAGCACTATGGGATTTCTAGGTACACAATGAATTTAGCCATGGAAAAAGAATGGGTTTTTTAGCAGAAACATGCACTTTGTCCCAGATTCAGTTTATAAATACCACTCAAAGTATCATTGTCTTTATCTGTGTGTGTATGTGATTACTTTCAAGATGGGAAATGGGTATTTCCACACAGCTTGAAAGCTGTGATCCTTGAAAACCCATCTTTATTCTCTGTCAAGGATGACTGGAGTAGATTACACTGGAGTATTAAAAATACTAGCCCACAAAAACCTTGAGCCATTACCACAACTAAACCATCATAACAGTAATTTCTTTTTTAATCTAGAACGTGCAATAAGTGTCAGCTTTCTTTTTTAAATAAACTACTGCTTTATCACTATAAGAGAACTTGCTTATTCTGTGCAATCTGCATTTACTAATAACGCTGGTGTAAAAATAGTGTAGCTATATTTAAATGAGAGAGCTAAATATTGTGTCAGCAAATGGCATTGTTACTTGTTTCTTGAAGAACAACTTGCTTCATGAAAGCTACTTTTCCAGGTGGTGAAACCCAGCAGGGCCTTTTTGACAACAAGCTACAACTTTCAAGTAAATTACATAATGCAATACATAGAGTTTCCGTATTTCACATGGTTATGTACACATTATGTGTGATTTTTTCCTTGCTCAGAAAAGTTGTTTTGAGTTAGATCCCAGTCCTCTGCATACTAATGTAAATCGTTAAAAAAACCCAAAGAAATTAACAGTTAAACCATTCACCTACAGTCCACTCACTTCTCTACCTCCCTTCTGCTACTTCCCACACACACATCTCCATCCTCCGCCTGAACAACCCACAATTATCTTCATAATGAACCACTGTGTTTGTAATAATGGAGCTGGGAGCATCATGTATCAGTTTAACGCAAATTTACAATTGTATGACCATTTTTCAGTTATTCATATGAATGAATTTCAGATACCTAATAGAATGCCAGTTACTTACAACCTTTATCAGGATGAATTTTTCCTGGGTGTATAACTCAGTCTAAATTTGGGGATAACTGCAGCCAAAGCAGTGCAGCTGTTTACAACAGAAATGCTGAGGAGAGGTGGGTGAATTCGTTCAAGATAAAGTACTCTGGTGACTTCTTTTGAACATGTAAAAATTTTTAATAGTTTTAGTATCTTTCTTCAGTTTTGATCTGAATTGATCAAGAAAACAAACTTTTTACCCAATCTGTGGAGTTCTACCAATCTTTAGCTAAGGTAGAACCACTTAAGCTGTGTATAGTTTTGCCAGACTTTGCAGCTCTGTCTGAATTGAGAAAGATTCACTCTGAAGCTATAGGTGATGGGCTTTTCATTCTGTAACAACTTTCAGCTGATGTGAGCTTTTCACTGTCTGAGTCTAGAAGCCAATAATTTATGCTTACACTATTATGCTTTCTCTTGTTCATTATTTTTTTGTATCTTTGCAGGACCCACAAAGTTCAAGTTATCAGCCACAACTCCCCAGGTGAGTTGCAAAACAAGGCACACAAAAACTGCATTTCCCTGTAGAGGACTGACACCAATGAGGAAGCCTCCTGTTGTGTTGCTTAGCATTGCCCTGACACACGAACAGCCAGGCTCTTGTTGCGGTTTCTGAAGGCAAAGTGAAGATCTGAGGGGGGATTTAAAAAGGCAGAAAGTGAAGGCTTTGCAGATGCTGATAGACAGTTCCTTCCCCAAGTGTGAGGGGCAACAGAGGAAAGAGCATGGCTGGGCTTGTTTTGAAAGCATTGCAGTCAGAGGAAGGAATCTTGGCTCATAGACTAATTGGAAGCAAGTGCTGACCTTTGATATTGAACATGAGAGGGTCAGTGGTGAGCAGATAGGCCACAAAGGGCTTTGGAAGTCAAGACAAGTCATTTGTGTCTAATTCGACTGAGAAGGCTACAGAAGAGCCAGATCTGGGGAGTGGCAAGGGAAGGAGATTTGTGTCGAGCTTGAGAGAGAAAGGGCTGAGACTGGAGGCGGGAGAGGGAGTTGGGAGAGCAGAGGAAGTGACTGGACAATCTGAGATCAGCAGTACCAGTGAAACGGGGAGGGAGGATGGGATGTTTGAAGCAAGCTTCGTATGAATGAAAGCTTGACAGAAATGGCAGCAGTTTCTGAATTATTATAATATATTCCAAAGACATGCCAATTCAGGAGTTCACAATGCAGCTGTTGTTTCTGAGGGAATGAGAAATTATTTTACCAATTTATGCAAAGGACTATTAAAAAGGTGGCAGATGAAGAAAAAATATCTGCATAAAAAGGAAAGTTAATTGCTCCATAAAATGACTCACTGCTTGGTTCAAAAATCTTCTCATGCATAAATAGCAAAGTTTTACTGTTTGGGTTTTGTTGTTTCCTTCCTTCATATACTGAAAGAGCAATTTTCACAGGCCAGTATCTCTAGAAATAGTGGTGGTTGCATAATTGGATATTATGAAACAAAGCTGATATCTCTTAGTTTTTGCTTCCTGGAATTGGAAAGTTATAGGAACTCAAAAAAAAAAAAAATTTAATTTCTATTTACTGAATTTACCCACAGACATTTGTTCAAAGTACTCATTATTTGCCCGGTCTTGACTTTACCTCTAGGACTATCAGGGACATAACTTCAGCTGAGCATGGATCTCCTGTCACAAAAAAAAAGAAAAAAAAATTCGAAGTTATTGCCCTTATAAATTACCAAGCTAAAGTAATGAGTGTAATGGGCACTGGACTTCTGATGAGCTTAAATGCAGTGCTAATAAATGGCCACTATAATCCCTGAAAGTTCTTTGTGAAAGTTTTGTGTCAGTGAATTCTGTTTCTCACATGACTACATATGAAGACCACTTGTTGCTGCCTCCAAACCACGGCTGTGACTGACAGTGTTCTGTAAAATCTTATGTACTTTATGATCCCAGGTCTCTCATACTGTTGCACAACATGCTTGTTTAGGTGATGTCCAAAAGTCCAGTGAAACGTGGGCTCTGTTCTAATGGATGATGTGCAGATGTGGAACCCAAATGATGCTGGTTTTGTGGCAGCTGTCTAATTGCTCATTTTAGAATGGAGACTGATTTTAAACCACTCTTCTGCAAAGAACCCATCACCAACAGAATTCATGGGAGTGCTTTTTATGCATGGAGGTTGCTTGTAGCAAATCACAGACCTGCTCTTTTATTTCAAAAGCAGCAGCTGGATGTTGTAGTTAGGTAGGTGTCTATAAATCCCAGCTCACCTGCTCCAGAAAGGGGAGCAGTTTTCCTCAGGGGGTGTGTGAGTTAGCTACCAGACTTGAGAGAAACCACAAGTAGCGACTTAGGTAACCTTGGTCTTTAACATGCATCTTACACACATACAAGAGCGTTTGCTTTCAACTTCTAGCTTGGAATTTGGATGGGGATGTTTCCCTAGACAGATGGGAAACACAAAAGCTTTATAAATAGCACAAGGGCCCCTATAGTTATATCTTTATCTTTATCTACTTCCTTTTTTTTGCTTATGGTGGAGTGTGTTTGGATGGGATGTGCTTCATGAGAAGGTTTGCTTCTGGGCTGCTAATAGAGACAATGGTTTTATTTTGATGGCTAATTTATATGTGTTGTGTCATAGCACCTCATATTTTCAGGGAACATTATTCCAGCTAAGTTTAAGACAAGATGTAGACTGTGTCATAATACATGAATGACTCGGTCAGCATTGCCTTCAAGGTATTGCTCAATAACAAAAGGAGATAAAATCCCTTCTTAGATGAGGTCACAAACATTTTGCCACAAGCCTAATGACACTGTTAAAAATCAAGGAAAAAAATAATATTTTCAATTGTCAGAAGTGCCCAGTCCAGTGCAGTTTCCCTTGTGCTGCCTCCAGTGATCCTCCTTCACTCCCTTGTTGCAAATCAGGATGACTGGCTATTCGACCTAGCTGATTTTTTTTCTTGCTTTCTTGTCTCTTGTTGCCCCTCACATATGATTTCCCAGGCCCACAATACTAATTTCCTCCTGCTCTCTCCACCTCTCAGAATAATCTGTCTAGTTCTTCTTTACTTCTCTACATCCCACACAGTTATTCGCTCAGTCCCATGAAATACCCTATGATTACCTCATCCCTCTTCAAAATCTTACCTTCTTATACTTCCTTGATTTTCAGTGATGAGGATTTTCAAAAAACAAACCAAACAATAAAAAAGTCAGTACAAGATTCTTAATTTCTTCCTGCTGTGGTTAGTTTCAGAAACTGGAACAACTATTAGCTTTCATCTTTGCTCAAGACCAATTTTAATTAAATAGATTTTCTATAGTACCAAACTAATTTTTTCTGATCAACCCTCTTCTCCATGTTCCATAAGGAATCCTCATGTTTATCCTGCCTTGAGTTGTGAGCATGAACATGGTGCTCTTTGTTTAAAAGACATTGTCCTTGATGACCCCACCTATTATTCTGCTTTTTCTTGGTCTTTCACACCGTCTTGGTGCCCCTTTTGTATCTAAAAATATATCTTAGTATCTTCTCATGTAATTTTTCCTCTATCAATTTGTCAAACAAGAAGAAACTTCTACAAATAACTACAAATAACTGACCTTTATAGAGGATGTGACTGACATCTTTTTGTTGCATCTTATGTTATCAGTCAATCCTGATAAGCATAGCTCAGGAACAGTTTGAATAATACTGCACACACTTGTAACATTAATTGTTAGTTCAAATTGTAGTTATCAGTTTATCCAAATTCAGTGACATGCATTTTGTAAGGGTTGTCTGCCCACTGTCCTCTCATTTTGTGATCTTAGCTGATTTTTCTGATACTGAAAGATATGTTTCTCATAACTTCTTAACTCTTTACAACAGAATACACTTTTTATGTCACATTTAAAAAAACCTCCCCCTCAAGAATCCCCCTTCTTTAAAAAGGCTTGTAAGGAATTAAAAGGTGGGCTATCTGGGTTTAATTTATGATGGTAGAGCAATTTAGCACAAAATGTCCTTCTCCTTAGTAACTTATAAATTGAAATTACAAAATAAAGTGTCCTCAAAGGTGTCTGTATACCAGTTCTCAAGGAGAACATACTCTGCTATATAAAGAGAAGAGATCTTTTATTATAAAAGGACTAAGACTTGAAACATCTGAGTGCTTTTTAATGTTATTTACTCAGTGTTGGCTTGAAGCCAGTGACAGAAACTCTTTAAATACAACAGTGAAGAATTGGGCCCTAAGAGACGTTGTAATAACAAATTACCTCTCTCTTTCCTCCTCAGTTATCTCCATCTGTGAAGTGGGAATAGCCTGTTTGTCAGAGCACGCTTGTGAGACGTAATTCATTAATGCCTGTGAAATGGTTTGAGATCAACGAATGGAAGTCTCTGTTCAAGTGTCAGGTATTATTAGCTCTGAAACGAAAGCTATTTTATATGGCTGCATCAGAAGCTACTTGGAGACTCTTGTTCCATACAAATAATAAGTGGTACATGAGTGACATTTTGTTTGGCTTAATAGGATAGTCTGTCCTCAGTGCTGAAGGAACGGTTTATGCTGGTGCAATGGCATTAGGGAGAGCTGGTAACACACTGAGCAAAGTCACTCATTCCAGAAATATTTTGATTTGGGGATTCAGAGAACTAGGAAAGGAAGAAGGTAAATTAGAAAAGAAAGACAAGAAGAGGTTGTCTGGGGCAGGAAGTAGGAGAAGGGGGTGGCAGGAGAAGGAAGGATGGCAGGTAGAATGGGGCAGACAACCTGAAAAAAAAAGATGAGGAGGAAAATCAGAAAGAAACGTAAAAAACTGACTTTTCAATTAAAATAAAGAGGCAGTTGGATTTATTTATTGCAAAAAAACACAACTTACAAAAACAAGGCTGTAATGCCATCTTGGGGTTTCTGGTGACATCTCAATCCAGCAGAGCTCTGCTCATTTGGTTTGTGAATGTCAACAAAAACCCCTTGATTCTATTGAGGCTCAGTTGCCTCTCATTGATTCTGTATTATTTCAACAGTGGAAAAATAACACCTTTATTTTCACAGCCAAAGTATCTCACACTGTGATAGAAATGTACATGAGCTGATTGAATCTCATCTCTGTTCATTTCTATCTAGCTTCCCACACCTATGTTATCACTATGGGTTAAAAAGATGTGTTCTTTTATGGCTATCATGTGAAAGACTACTTATCAAATATACCACAGTCCTAGTCTTTATTAGGCTAAGGGATATAGACTGTCTAGCTGGCTTCTGCTGTTTATTATTTTAAACTCACCTTGTCATTAGAAATATTACCCCAAACAAGCCTCTTATTGATTCTTCTGACATGTTGTATGTTTTTCTCATTTTTTTCACAGACAGGATAATCAAAACAGAATAAAACCTATTTTGTGATATGAATGAGAATATGCACCACTAAGTATTATGTATGAAATGTATTGGAGCTTCAAGCCCAACTCTGTAACATGTGGGAAGTCTTTCAATTTTGCTGAAAGAGAAGCAGTTCAAAGGTGACATCTGCGAGCAAGCAGTATGTTGTGTCTTGATCTCCAAAGAGTTCGGGTGAATAGGATCTGGTTGAGATGGAGCTAATTTTCCTCTTAGTGCTGTGCTTTGCTGTGCATCGGTGGCCAGAAAGGTGTTGATAACACACCAGTGTTTTGGTTACCGCTGAACAGTGCTGGCACAGCATCCAGGCTGTCTTTCTGATGTTTCCCCCTCACCCAGTAGGCTGGGGGTGGGCAAGATCTTGGGAGGAGCCTTAGCCAGGACAGCTGACCCAAACTGACCGAAGAGATATTCTGTACGTCTGTTTAGATATAAAAGCTAAGGAGGGTTGTAGGGTGGGGGTGAGGTGAGCGTTTGTTATTATGAGGTTTGTCTTCCAGGGTAATTGCTACGAATACTGAAGCCCTACTTCCTGGAAAACAGCTGGACATTGTCTGCTGATGGGAAGTAGAGCATAAATCTTTTGTTTTCATTTGCTTCCCTGTTTGCTTTGCTTTTGCTTTACTAAACTGCCTTTATCTTGACCCAAGAGTTCTTTTCTATCTTATCTTCTCCCTCCCTGTCATGCTGAGGAGGGGAGTGATAGAGCAGCTTGATGGGCACCTGGCATCCAGCCAGGGTCAGCCCACAATAATAGGAAACAAATCCACTGTAAAGTGTACAGCCTGAGCTATACTATCCTGGGCATGAGTCACAAAAATTCCATTAATTAATTGGAATTGCATAAATTTAATGTCTGTGTTGCCAATGGAAAAGACCAGTAGTTATATTATAGAAAATTGAAATGTTATTCTGGATGCTGTTCTGTATAGAATGCTCCTAAAATAGACATTCTTATAATTGAAAAATATTGAAATAATCACAACTTTTAAGTAGAATTTTTTTTTCTTTAGAAATGGCAAAATTCTGAAGAATTTTATAAGATAAATTTATATTATAGTAACTGAACTGACATTTCTTTGTGCCTTAAAAAGTAATTTTTTGACTGGGCTTAGTTCACACATACCTAAACCTTCCCTAAGAATTATCTACCTGTCTAGTCTAGGCCAAAATTCCTTTTGTGGTGAAAATTCTGCAACCTTCTTATTCAGGTTGGACATGTGCTTCTCTGTCCTTACACCTAGGAAACCTTACCCTAATTTATCTTCATGACATCAAAATGAAATGATTCTTTCTTGTCCTGCATATTGTAGAGAAGGATGAAACAGATCACCAGCCTAACCATAGCATCCTTATGCATAAGTGAAAATGTCACCATACTCTTTTCTAAATATTAGTAATAAACTTTCCCCACGGTCATGCTTTCTAAATTTCTCTAATTTTTTTTTCTTTGCTCTTCCATGGATTTTCTCTCAGTTGTCAATGCAGCTTTTGAAAAGTGATGCTAAAAACCAGCCATCAGTTCTCTTGCTGAGACCTTGCACGTCCTGCATAGATGACCTCTGTTACCCTACTCAGATCCTGCTGCTAAGACATCCCAGAGTGGTGCTTTATGTTTTTCCCAGTTACATCTCACTGATGACCCACACTCTTCCTTTGGCCTTCTCCACCCTGTGGTACCAGGCTGCAGTGCTGCTGTCTGCCAGGTATTCTTTATTTTGTTTTTGTATATTTGATACTTGCTACCTAAGTACAGGAGTTATTTTTATACTAAATACAAAAACTTCTTGAACTGACTGAGAATTTTGAATACAGAGGCATTATGTGTTCTGGCTAAGGGTATGTAGTCAGTTCTGTGAATTGCCTTGAAACCCTCTTAGTGCAGTAGAAGACTGTTCTTATCAGTCTTAAATATGTATATATTATCTCACATTTGGAGGGAAAAAAACCCCAACAGCTTGATTTCAGAATTTTAAAATTATTTATTTTCTGTTTTCCTTTGCAATAGGCATTTTATTCTAACTGTCTTAATTATCAAAACTTTGTTGAAAACATCAAGAGTTATGTGAAAAGATACACTTGACCTGGACTGAAGTATCAGGAGTTTTTAAACATTTAACTTATAGTGTATATTAGTATGAAACTAAGTTGAGCAGAACCCATTAATGTCACAGTGGTCGGTTACCAATGGAAATAAATAATTCATGATGAAGGGAATTAGTCTAATTAGCAGGCAGTTTGAGTCCTTTGATAAAACCCAGCTCTAATTCCGTGAAGGGCAGGAAGTGCTGTCATCAGTCAGCCCTGAAAAGATTAGCATCTATTATGAATGAGGTTAGACACCCTAGTGAAGTCATGTGTGTCCTGGAGACAAACTTAATATGTTCCAGAATGGGACACAGTTTGTCTCACCAACACATCATGATTCCTACTGGGCTATTGTATGTAATAACAAGCAAAGATCAGTGCTCCTTCCTATCATTCTCCCCCTGTCCATCATTCTGACAACTGTGCAAATACATTTTCCATGCAAAGCAGGGATTGTGCCCTGAATACTTGTAAAATTGCACAAGATGTCAAAGAAAATGTATTACCTTTTATCAGCAACCTAAAACCAAACAAACCAAAACACCAGTGTGGAAGAGGTTCTGAAAACACATCTGGTAAATATATGGGGTGTAGAGGGAGGTGTATCAGTTTAGAAGCACATTGATTCCATTTGAAAACATTATTGCCATCTGTCATAAGATGTGTCAATAAAGCTGTAGATGTAGCTATGCATGATAGACAGGTTTTAAAATAACTGGTGATACTATAAGGTTACGGTATTGGATGGACATACAGAACTAACATCCTGCAAAATTGGCCTGAATTCTGGAAGTATGGCCTTAAAAATGGAGAGGCTTCTTTGTGTTATGTATTTTCATTTAGAAATGTTAGCTGCATCATTTGAGGAGACTAGCTGTGAGCTGTGCAAGCTTCACGGTTTTGTACTACATGCTGACGCAACATCAGCTGTGTTTCCATTTTTGCTTATGAGCCTTTTGAAATTATATGTTTCCGTTTTGCAATTTGATGCAATAATGAAGAAACTCCACATTTGTACGTTATTGTATTGCCTGTTTTTATTGTAGGAAATTAATTGCTCCTTTTATTTATGTTATTAAGGGGGGGGAGAAAACAATTTTGCAGTATTTTATCATTTGCTGTAATAATTATCCTACTAGTAATACAACGGAAGACTTAGAAACAGAGTATATTATGTTCAAATGTCTGAACGGCACTTAATATGTTGACACTCGTGGCTGGGGAATGTTGGTCTTCAAGTTATATTGAAAAAGGTAAGAAGAAGTTATTATTAATACTCCTGACAAGCTTAAGATGATTTATAATATAGAAATTAAGAGGAAAAGAATAAGTGCAGTCAACACAAGAAATTGTTTTCATAGAATCAGAATAGCATAGCGATTCTGCTGTCCAAATACTAATTGACAATGGAGCACTGATACTGCAGAGAGAGACAGAATCAAGTGCTACATTAACTTCAAGGAGATTCCTAGATGAGATTAAAAAAATAGTCATCTTCTCTGGAGGGTTTATTACTTAGAGTTCCTTGAAGAAGGAACATATACAGGTTAGTCAACCTTTATTTGTTCATTTTTGTCTTGAATTCAGTGGCTAGTAAGTCAGGACGAAATTCAGTTGTATGAGCATTTCAATTCTTTGATCTCTGTGTGCCTCTTAAAAATGACCAGCAGTGTGGATGTGCCTTGGGCTGGTGAATGGTTTCATTCATTCAGCTTGTTGAAATGGTTTTATTTATACATACGTGTGAATATATGTATATATTGCATATGTATATATATATTTATACATATGTGTCAACAGGTGCATACAATAAATACTATTTTTATTTCTGTGATAATGGGGACATGGTACTTGAAAACAGAAAAAGTTTTATGATCTAGAAAACTTGCAGAATCAGATAAGGGAAAAGATTGTAACAAATTTTGTCAAATCTCTTGATGTCCTTAACTAGCCACCTAGATTTAGCTTTTGTCACAATATACAGGAGCTTCTTGTATCACTCACACGTATACGCTGAGTCCTCCACGGAGTTCACAGGCTGGCTGGTACACTATTTTCAGGTTAAAAATCTTGCTGAGTGTAAATATAAGATTTATCAAAACATATATTTTTTCATAGATCCCAATAAACAACTGTCCCAGGTCATACTTTGGTAGTATCCACCAGAGAGAGAAGTAGAACAATGAGTTCTTTCTTCCAAAAGTATGTCCTTTCTCCTGTCCTTTTGCATCTTGTCTAAGGAAGGCTGAAGTGACCCAACACAGACACTTTGCCTTTTTTTTCTGTGAAGTGTGATATACTTTTAATCAGCTGGTTTTTTTCATATATTGTTCCCTTCAGAATTTGTAGGGTGAAGCAAAAGGACTGGGTGAACATTGGTGACCACAAGCTGGCTACATCCAGCTTTGCTCTGTAGCTCTGTTGAGGTTTCCACTAGGCAATGTGTAGCCTGATATCAGTGGGCCCGAGTCATAGCATTGAAGAATTGTTTGTGTTGGAAGAACATTCAAAGGTCATCTAGTCCAACGTACTTGCAATAAGCAGGGACATCTTCAACTAGATCAGGTCGTCACGGACAAATCCGACCCTTTCAGTCAATAAATCACAGTTATATTCCCACTGAAGTAAGATACATACTCCAAGTGCAACCAAATGGTAAGTTCTTAATCTGCTGATTTTCTTTGAAAGATGTGTTTAAACAGTACTCTATTCTTATTTTCTGATTATTTTGCTTTCAATAGTAGGAAGGTGACACTGGAAAATGGCTGACCACACAGCATTTCTGACTCTTACAGTGTACTTACCTTGCTATGTTCCTGTGACTATATCCATGTTCTTATCTACTGGAACAAATGAAGTCAAGGTGTCAATAAGGAAAACTGGGGAGGTCACAGTAGTTCCCGCATCATGGGACAAAGAGGGCACACGCCTCAGCCCACTGTGATGCTCTTTCACATTGTACTGAAAAGGTGAATTCTGCAGGACTTAGATATTTTAAAAACCAGCAAGCTGGTGAAAGAAGATCCTTTCACTGAGACACTCTTTATCTCGACAGCTGTCTCACTTGTCCCCTCGTCAAGACATCCTTATGGGTTATTATCCGTTAATCAATTCCTCTCCTTCCTGCTATTTTGTAACTGGTGTTTACATGTGTCATCCTTTGTCTCTATTGTCCTTAATCCTCACTCACACCCTCCCATAATACCAATACAGCAAGATATTGCAGCAAAGGACACATCACCCACATTCAAAACTAAATTTGTAACATGCTGAATCATTTTGAAGGCTTACAAAAGTGTATGTAACAGCCCAATGTATTCTTATTAACTGCTGATCACACTTTTGATCTGTTCTTGCTGCATGTTTTATTCAGGGGCTTTTGTCATATGTATCAATGTTAGGCATCTCTTTTGTAAATAAAAGACTGTTTAGATCTTCCTGTAAACAATAACAAAGAGCTAAAGTTGTTCTGAGTAATACAGCATATTGGTGAAATATTCATTCTCAGGTATGTCTTTGATTCACAATGCTTATAATATACTATGCTGTCTAACTGCTGCCCATTGTCCCCATCTCAGATCAGTTTATGTTCTCAATTACTTGCTAAAGAATGTTAGGTATCTGTTGCTTCTACTGAACAGAAACATGAAGCAGAAAAATATATGTCCCTATTTCCTAATTCACCATGAAATTAAGTTCTAGGGGGTTTTTCTGCTAGTAATGTAAATTCAGGTGCTGCAGCTCTCACTCAAAAAAGTTTTGTCTAGATTTAGATCAACTAGATGATTGTTAGAGGTCCTTTCCAACTGAAGTATTCTACTCTAGAGCAAGGAAGAATAGCAGGGAAAGAAAAAAGACTCAGACTGAAGTGTTATCATATTACGCACTGGTTTTAGTATGTTTATCTGCATCAAACCTACCAAAGTTTACTTTGAGATAGAGAAACTGGATAGAATGGGCATAGAGAAGGTTACAGGAATTTTCATCAGGAAAGTATTCAATTCTAAGGGCATTACATTTTTAAGCTAATAAACCTTCTCTGAGTGGTGTACTGTACCTTCTGTTCCATAATTAAACCAGAACCCCTCTACTGGACAGGTTCACTCAGCTTTGCCTTTCTTTGAGTAAGACACCTTCAGACCAGTGCCTTGTTTTGATGTATTACAATGATAGACTGAAGAGTTCATGTAATCTATCATCCCAGTCAGCAGTTGCTGGACGCTAAGGATTGAGAGACTGAGCCAGCTGTTCTGCTGATGTATTCTGGTAATGCATCACCAGATGACGGAAACTGATAATCTATTACTTCAAAATGACACCACCCAGAAAAGGAAAAGTCCAGAGGTGCAGGTTCTGTATAATGAGGCATTCAAAGTATGAAACAGGGCTCCAAACTCCTGGAGCAAGATGTTGGTAATAAATCAGCTTTCTATAATATTACGTTATCTATCTGGCTACACAGGTACACAGACTCTGTTGTGTGCAATCTGATTTCCAGTGCCTCTCTGTGATGCTGTGTTTATGTAGACCAAAGCTAACCCTAGCAGCAGTTTTATCTTCACTCCTCTCACAACTAAATAGTTCACAATGCAAGCAACCCAGAAAAAGGGGTAAGGCAGAGTTCCATTGTCTCAACAAATTCCAAGATTTGGGATTCCTTCTCAGATTGGGGTACTGTCAGAGCCACTTGGATGCTACTCTTTTAGTGAACTTAGCCCATTCGTGGCATTGGCACAGATGGGAATGGCCCCTTTGCCCTTGATGGGAGGAGTATTGCGTTCCACAGGGACAGAATGGGCTAACCCAGAGCACTGCAGTTGGGACTGACTTTTCCCACAGGTTGACTGAAAGCAAGGAAGGCTCTTTTGGCCATCTCTTCATCCATTCTTTGTTCATCTTGCACCTGCTACACACACAAAGAGTCAGGCCAAAAAGATCCCTAATTATTAACATTAATTAAAAAGAAAATTATTGGAACAGGAAGCAGCTCCGAACATTTGCCTGCAAAACTTTATCTCCTTGATGAAGCAGATTGTGTATGTGTAAAAGTATTTCCTCCAAATTTACTTTTAACCCTGGGGCAACCATGGGAAAACAGAAAAGGTGGAAAATTGTCTTTTAAAATCATGAGCTACATCTCTACCAGTATCTCTTTCCAACATTTCTTGTTTGTTAAATGCAGTACTGCATATAATTTTGTATGTGTAAACACCATTATATCTTTGGCAAACCTTTGAGGATAAATAAGTCCTGCCCTCAAACTTTACTCTTTATTTATCGAAGGTTTGGAATGAAAATGAAGGCTAAGTATATTTTAATAACAATAAGAATACTTTTCTGTCTGTCATCGGATATAAAACATGGGTCTAGAAGACATTAAATACGTATTTGTGGCATATGATTCTAAGTCAAAAATATTCCAATTTCATATATACAAAGGTCCATGCCAGTATAACTCTGCTAGCTCAGATTTAGTCCGAGAATTTTGAAGAGGAGCCTTGCCAGGCAGACTTCATACTGGATTGGGTAGAGGTTGTGTTCTTATATCTCATTCACTGCCAGTACTGTCATTTACTCTCTTTGTCTTTGGTACTAGAAGGAGATGGATGTTTTCCACCCCTGCCTGCCATTCATCTCAAAGCCAAGGCTTAGCACTTTGCAAGGGCAAGTTCTGTAGAATCCCATCTGTAATTTAGGTCCTTCAGTTGATTGTGGGTACAAAATTCCAAGTGCAAACCATCTCAATAACCTACTGAGATTTCTTGATTAAAAAAAAAAAAAGAAGAAGAAACACAAGAATTTTCTGTTCTTGCTTCTTCAGACCACCTTGTTTTGCTTCCAAGATTATATACATGATTGGCAACCTTGAAGCATCACAGAAACACTTTGCTCAGTCTTATCCGCTTGTCTTTTATTTTATTTTTATTTTAAAAGTATTTTTGCTTTACATTTAAATGTTCTGCCTAACATGTATATATGGGGAAAAAGTTCATATATCAGGAGTTATGTTTGCAAGGGACTGGTGAAGAGTCCCAAATATATGTTCCCTCTGTGATACCATTTTGTCACAGCTAAGTAATGATTATTAATATCTCCTTGAATGAGACTTCATGGAAATTGTAGTTCTGAATGTGCAATGAGCTCCTTTATGGCCTAACAAGTGTTGCTCTGAGCCAGCAGTTGTCTGGCACTCAATTGTTTTTGTAAAATACACCTTATCTGCTACCATTACACACCAAGATGACACTTTCTCTTTTGATTTTTGGCACATAACAAACATCTCATCTCTACTCTCTGTGTGCAAAACTTGTATTTAGCTCCCTTCATAAACTTGGACAATATGACATATTTCTAATCCAAATAATTGTTTAAGATTATTACAATGATAATTATTGCAGTGATAATAACACATTATTTCAGCTGACAATATATTAGTTCCATAGGGAGATAAACGGCAAGGCAAATGGATTTATCTTGATAGCAAAATGGATTACTATTAACTATGATTGTAATTTTTCCATTTGTGCACAAAGAAATGTCCCATTGAGTTCATTGTCTTTTGAATGACTGTTGGTAAGAATTTTCTCTACATATATGTAACTGGACTGGATCCTGAACTAGTACAATATTGTTATTGTTATTCTCTATTGTCTAGGCAAGCTGTAACTTTACTTAGCACTTTAGGTGTAGGACTTCTGGTTTTGAAAATGCCTCTTAAAAATTATGAAATGCAAGAGAAATAAGGGATAAAACCCACTGTGAGTATATTAAGATTTTACAGGGTAGATTCCTAAATGAGAACAACAAAGCTTAACCTAACTACAGTTTCCTGTATGTAGCAGCCTTGGACATAAGCAGCTTCTTATGATTTTGGAATGTAGCAAGTACTATCTCTTACCCCTGGTTTTTATTCTCAGTCTGAGAAGTATTTAAGGACACTTGGTCAAGAGAATGATTTTCACAGTGACTATGTTTCTGCAGAAAGACAAACACACAGAACTGTATTGTTAAAAATCTTCATCCCGAGTGCCTTTAAAGAGCTTTGGATCAGAACCTGAGTCATGACATAACAGCTTTTTACCTAAACTATTATAATCCAAAACTGTTAAAAATGAATACATGTTTAGTTTAGTTGATCTGGTTCATTCCTCTCCTGTATAGTTATCACTGTGCTGTGCTGGCTTTCCAATTTTGTTTTTACAGCACATCTTCTTTAAAAAAAAAAATTAATCCAGGTCAAGTATATTATAAAATTATTTGGAAATTTTGATAATTGTTATAGACATTTATTGGCTAAAAAATACATTTGATACCATAAGACTGACATTAATATGCAAATCGGTGGACTATAAAATTCATTTTTGTGCCTCCAGGGCAGTATTTTTATAAATACAGAAACATAATAATGCATCCTCCAGAGGACTGAAAATAATTATACAAATTTACAACAAAGCCAAAGGCAGTGTCTCCTTTTAACTGTCTGGTTTTAATATCATTTAAATCTTGTTAAAACTTAATTACCAATTCTCTTCTGTAATTTAGGTGGAAGAGCTGAGGTCTAAGCTTGCTGTTTGAGAGAGAGAACTTCATCAGAGAAACAAAGACACTATGGCACAGACTGACAAAATAGGACAGTTCACAGAAACACTTGGTAAAGGAAAAATCACAGAGGACAATGGAGAAGAGAATATACATATATCTATTAACATTGTCACAATTTAACAACTCATGTCCACAATTAAGTACCACACAGCTGCTCACTCATCCACTCCCCTCCTCTCCTGCCTCCTCGTTGTGGAATGGGGAGGAGAACCAGAGAAAAAGGTAAAACCTGTGGGTTGAGATAAAAATAGTCTAATAATGTAAATACAGTAAAATATAATAATAATAGGAAAAAGGGAGAGAGGTATAAAAACCCAAGAAACACAAGTGATGCCCTTGGAGGATTCACCATCTGCTGACCGATGCCCATCCCATCCCCCATGGTATGGAATATCCTTTCAACCGGTTCAAATCACCTGTCCTGACCGTGCTCCCTCCCAGCTCCTTGTGCAGCTCCTCACTGGCAGAGCTTGAGATGCCAGGAAGTCCTTAACTTATGGTAAGCACTCCTTATCAACAACCAAAACATCGGTGTGTAATCAACATGATTATTATAGTAAATACAAAGCACAGTGCTATACCAACAATAGGAAGAAAATTAATTCTATCCCAGCCAAAACCAGAACAAACATCCACATAAAGTGAAACTGAGGTGATGTCTTGTATGATGGTTATATAAATACACTGGAGTGTATATAAACCTAAATATATCATTTACATCTACACATACATATTTATGTAAATGTGGCAATTTATTCGTTAATACCGGTATAGCTCAAGCTGTGTCCAGCTATGAGGGGAGTTACAGGGCCAGTGCTTTCATCCTCTGTTTTTGTTCCCCAGCTGTTCTCTGCGAGATGATGGCTGCTCAAATGTAGAAGTGAGTAACTCTAAGTTCAAGGCTGGCATGGCTACAGGCTTTAGGCGATATGTGAAGCAGGCACATTCTATCAAAAAATTCTGTTGTATGAATACCTGTGGATCCTTATTTATTTTTATTTATTTTAAGGTATTTCCAAAGAAGATAATATGCTCTCTTCCTGCATGACTGATAGAAGAAAACACAACAGCAACTCTACCTCTGTATCAGAAGTGTGAGGTCAGGGAGAGGGCCTCAGCTGTGTGACCCATATAAAACAGCTGGTAAGCCATTTAAAAGTAATGTTGTACTAACAAAATCTGCTTCTTTGGACTGATTTACAGAAGATTCTGTACTCGCAATGTCTTCTCTCTTTACATTAAAGGTAAAGCAGAGAGTACAGCATATGGCTTCTCTGCACTCTGGTGCTGTGTTCTCCCTCCCTTCTCTCCAATTTCCCGTTTGCTGCCGAGAATGATAAGGAATCTAGAAAACAGGGTAGCTTCTTGATTTCCTCCCTCAGTGATATACATCCCATGGACATGGAGTCTGCTGCCTCAGGTCTCTTCTTTGTGCCATGTTTGCCAGCTAGTGTTTAGTAACAAGTGTCACAGTCTGCTCCTCTGCTTTGAACTGGAACACATTTCTGTTAGCCCTTGCATCCAACTGAAAGCAGCTTTGCATTGATTTAATTCACCCTTTTTAGTATGACCATACTCACAATGAGGGATGTGCATCCAAACTTCCAGCTATAGCACAATTGCCACTGGGCAGAAATTCAAGTGATTTGGCACAGCATCTGGTTGGGAATCAATTCCCATTGGTTCATTCTGTCCAGTGCATGCCTTCCTTTTGATTGAAATGCCAGGCATTTTCTAGCAATATTGATGCCGGTGACAGTCATCCTCATAGCACTTCTCTGTCCTTTTGGGTTGCATATTCATCAAGTATTAATGGAAATACGAGATGCAAAATATTAGAGGAGGCAGTGTGTTACAAATTTCACATACCTTATTACATTGGCAAAATGACTTGTTCATTTACAAATTTATCCTATTTGTGACTGACACTTAGTATGCCTCTATTTTTTCTAGAATGATAATTCCTAAATTTTAAGATGTCACAGTTATACTTTTATTTAACTGCATAGACTACTCACAAATCTAGTAGCTTTCATACAGAAAAGGTATGCTTCAGGGCTAGAAGTATGACATATCTAATAAGCCTCTTGTAAAACCTTGAAATTAAAATCAGGTGTTAAATAGATGTCATTTGCACCTGTGCAAGTGAATTTGAAGTTGAGGACTTTCCTGAGCTGGACTAGGTTGCAAATGTGTTGGTTTCATTTGGCTGTAAATACATTTGCTTCTTGTTTGCCATGCAGCATGACCACAGTGGGTGTGAAAATGGAGGTGTGATATTTTCCAGGTTGTTGCTAGTCAGGCAAAAGTTATGAAACAGTCTGAAGATGACCTTGTTAAAGCTGACCCTGCTCTTAATGCAGAAAATCTTGCCTTAAATGTTTAAAATACAGTAATGTATCTCTGGTTTCTGCTCTGGGGTAGAATTATCAGGTTTTTTTGCCCAGTTGGAATTTATGGATCTATACTTCTTACAACTGAGTTGTGTAATCTTGTCAGCTTTAAGGTAAACCTGCTGGACTTAGGAACTTTCCTGAACCTACTCAATCTATAACCAGTGTGAAGCAGCACTATGGAGCCTTGTGTATCCAAGGGAAAAAGTCACAGAATCACAGAATATGCTGAACTAGAAGGCACCAACAAGGATCATTGAGTCCAACCCTTAGCCCTGCACAGGACTATCCCCAAGAGTCACACCATGTGCCTGAGAGTATCATCCAAACCCTTCTTGAACTCTGTCAGGCTTGGTGCTGTGACCACTTCCCTGGGGAGCCTGTTCCAGTGCCCAACCACCCTCTGGGTGAAGAACCTTTTTCTAATATCCAACCTAAACCTCCCTGACGTAACTTCAGACCATTCCCTTGAGTCCTGTCACTGATCAACCCAGAGAAGAGATCAGTGCCTGCCCCTCCTCTTCCCCTCACGAGAGGCTGGAAAACTGCAAAGGTATACCTGGAGAAGGTAATTGAGAAAGTGTTGTGAGCACATTTAAGAAATGTAATTTATTTGAACAGTCCAACTAAATGAGATTTTATTGCTAGGCATAGGTTTTCCAGTGATATTTCAAGAAAATATCAAAGATCACAGAAATAGCAGGAGATTGTCAAATTCAAAAAATGTGCCCAAGTTAATTGCAAGCACCTTTACCATCATGTTTCTGCAGAACGTGACATATTTTAATATTGCCAAAGAATACACTCCTTAAATGTCAGTATGTTTTTAGGACATATAAAGGCTCCAAGATATATATAAAAAAACCCCAGATTCCTCAGATGGGTGCCACAGAAAATCCTTCTCCAAAGAAGCTTCAGAAATTTCAGTCTAATGTGTACCATTAATGTGATGCTGTGACAGCTCTTGAGAGAGCTGTCATTATCAGGCTTATTTGTACTGGACCATGTCAGACAGCCACAGGCTAAAAACTCAGTGTTCAGCCTTACTTGCTCTAATGTACCTTAAGCAGTCAGTCGTAAGAGGAACCAGCACCCACACAACAGCATACCCTGCTCTTGCCGTGCCTCGGAGGCCTGCAGTCCCCAAAAAATGCCCATATGTGAAAAGGGAAAAAAGCTCCTGTTTAGTTTGTTTGGGGCTTGGGAAATACTAACTTTTATCATTCGTCTGAGCAGCTGGTGACAGCAGTGCTGAAATGCCAAAGAGGTAGGCAGTGGGAGGTTTACAGCATGTCTGTTTACATTGCCGTCTCCTTTGTGCTGAATTCCTCTGTAGCACATCCTGTCCATTTGTCACCAAGAAATAAGATATAGTGACCAAGAGAAAGTTGCTCCAAGTGAAGGATTAATTTCATACCATGTAAGAAAGATGGCTATTGATACTGCATGAGGGAACACTTATCATGCTGATGGATTTTGTGTACCTGATAGTGTCAGACACCAAAGATTCAGTTTCAATGTAGCATCCTTTGCAGCTTTTGCAAGTTCTGATGCTCAGCACATTTTAAAGTTGAAGCCTTGCTTCATGAGATGGCATGGGTAGATTGAATCCTACCTACTCGGAATAAGTCCTAATCCTCAGTCATTCTTTACTAACTCGGATGAGATATTGAATAGAGAGTAAGGTTTCAAAGCCTTTCAGTTGTTATATATCAACAGCTGCTAATTGTGGAGAGAAAAAATTATTTTTTTCATTAATGCTAAATGGATCTTTAATATATAGAGTCAAGACTGTGTTCCATCCTCTAGTTTCTGCTCTTTTCTCCAGTTCTGCACTGCCTAGCCCAGGTTATCTAAAGTTAAATTGTTGAAAAGTATAAATAAGAAGGTTAAAAACACGTCAGGAAAGAGACACACTTCCCATCATACTAGATTGCAAAATTCTGTTCTGATTTAGGAAGTAAAAATATCAGCTCTGGTTCTCTGTAATTTGGTAATGTTGTAAAGGACAGAGTAATTTACAAAAATGTAAATGTATATCAGAAGATACTGATGTACATTTTACAGATTTCTCTGTTCCCCTTGGGGCAATGGAAAGTCAAAGGCTTGTGATATTATTCCTAACTGCTTTAAAATTGTTTGAGATAGGGATGTGGGGGAACACGTTTAGGTTTCAACATGTCCAGATGTCACTATCTATATCCTTGAGAATACAATCCCCATCTTCAAATAAAAGGAGTGACTGCAAAATTATTGATGGACATACAAAGTAGCAACATACCGAAATTAAAAAGTAAAATAATCAACAGTCACAGCTGACCATAAAACTGCTGAATGCTTCAAAGGAGTATGGGATTTTTAGCTGTCTTCTAGTGTGCTTTAAGGCAGTGACAGCACAGGGCTGCACATATATCTTTCTGAAAAAGGCCCATGGGGGAATTCGAAGCAAATCAGGAAACCCTATATATGAAGATCATAAGTTGACTACTGCATAGGTGGAGTTTTAGTTTATACCAAGTTATTTCTCACTAATAGTTTTGTAATCAGTTCTATCCCAGGGATTATTCAAGCCACTACTTGGAAGACTCTGTTTGATCTATTGATCAGTGAAGAAAATAAGACAAATCAAGTTGTTGCTTAAAATTAAGTTAATTATTGACCCACTGGATTTAATACCTCATTTAGATTAATCATTGAAAAGTTATGCTTCTGCAAAGTAATAAATTAAAATATTTTGTTACTTTGCTTTCTTACTGATTGATTTCAAAAACCCATCAGTCCCTGGTGGATAACAGAAATAATTATTGGAAGTTTCAAGTGGAGTTCATGTTAGTGTATCAGTCATTAGTCCAATTAAATGTTTGTCTCCAGAGATGAACTGTTTCCTATATCCTGCAAAAACTAGAATATTTCCTGGATCACAGACATTTAAAACAGTGATTGCAAAACACATTATTGAGATATGCAGTATTTGCATAGTTTGCAAGTAGAATGAAAAATTTGTGTTATTTTTTCTCTGTTGAGGCTGTTTTTAGCAAATTGCTAGATTACCCAGAAAACAAGCCTGCATGAAAAGGTCGTGCCTAATACTAAAGATTCTCCAAACTGTAGGCTTAAAAAAACTAGCATTATCCATTCCTTTGAAAATAGCAATAGGAGCCGTGGGAAAACAATATCCTGCCATCGGTCTGAACATCGGTGGGAGTTGCTCATGCAAAGTAAAGGCCAGAACTGAGTGTTAAATGCTATATATTGACAGTCTTACTGAAGTAAAATTGCAATAGTCCGCCTGGGCTGTCCTTAATATTTTGTAACTATTTTTTTCTTTGTAACAAAATTAATGAAATATGTCAACTATATTTTGCTTTCTTTGTGTATGAGATCACTTATTTAATTTTCTTTACACTAACATGATTTTTAGATTTTGCTAATTAAGTGCCAGAATAGAGTGGTTATGTAAGAAAGATAGGGAAAAAGAACAGGAGACAATTTATTAGCAAAGAAAGACTTTTATTTTCAGGTAACAATAAGCTTCAGTAAAGGGAAGGTTTGGAAAGAAGAATAGATTTAGTTTCAGAAGAAATATCCAAACTAATAATCAAAATATATATGAAAAACAGGTTTGAATGATTTTTTACCATTGCTGGTACTGACTCACAACTTATCAAGCTGGTATCTTTGTGGAACATATTGAAATTTCCACAAGCTTCACATTTTATTACCTGATTAGTAAATCTGCACACATTGTTTCTTTTTTTGTCTTTCAGTAGATGGGTTTCTGCAAAACCATATTAATTTTGATAAGGAATACATCTCTTCAGTTATTGTTAAAACTGTAAAAGATTATCCCCATGACCCAGAGTTCAACTCAAAATTTGTGCAAGAAAATTTCATTTGCTGCTGCACACAGTGCTTGAGTTGTTACATCATTAGGGTCCAGGAGGTAGGAAATTTCTTCAGGTCAAAATTTTCAAATTTTGCTTCTTTCAGCTCTTCATTTGTTACTGCAAAGAACGCACTTCACACATATAGCTATTAAAAAATGCTAGAGAAAAAATATTTTGAATGTCATAAATTATGTTTATACTGTGAGAATGGGTTGTATATCATGGCCATGCTTCATCTGGAGACTTCTGACCTTCCAAAAATAGCTGAACTAAAGAGCCTCTGCACAAAGACCCAAAAGATCTGAATTTAATCCTGGTTCTCTCACTGATCTGCAGGGTGACCTTGGGCAATCTCTGTGCCATTTTCCTTCTTGCTAAAATGAAAATAATAATACTTACTGCCTTTGCAAAGCACTTTTAGAGCAAAGCATATGAATCAATAACATCTTCTCCTTAAGTATGTGAAATAGCAGAGGAAACTGTTGCCACTTACATTAGTGTGCTTTTAGCATTTAGAAATGTGAAATTATAAAGATTATTGCATGGAAGGGAGAAGCTCGGAAGTGTTCCCCTAATCAATAAGTTGCCAGCTGGAATGCAAAGGAAAACAAGGTAATGTACTATTTAGCGTAACAAAGAATAAAATATATGCTTTCAATGTGAGTATGGCAGCTACCAGTGCAGTCATACTGTATTATCTTGCTGGCTTGCTTGCTGGTGTGGCAGTAGAACTGTATAAAACATACAAACAGTTTGAAATTCTTACATTAGTTTTCAAGATTTCCAGTTTTTCTGGAGAGATCTGTCAGTAGATACAAGAGGAAAGCTAAACTGAAGTGCTTTGACCGCGTGTGTGTGCCTTGTTCCACATGTGGGGACTTCCTTCCCCCTGGGATGCTGCTGTACTTTCCCCCAGCAGATAATGAGCACAAACTGTCTTAGCACAGTGTGGTTTACAAGAATGCAAGCACGATTTTTCACCTGAGTCTGTAGGCTTGCTGACCTGCAGAGGACTTTTGTGGTCCATGAAGATGGATTAATTGGACTTGAGTATTTGTACTTTATTTGTATACTGTCTCTTAGGATTTTATATCAGCCATTACACAAGTCCAGTGTCATCTACTGTGTAGTCTAGGTGAGCCCTGGCAGTAATTAAAGTATTTTAAAGCATCTGCTTAATTGCATTAAAAATACACTGATGAGCTTGCACTGTTTGAATGATCTTCAGGAAGCTATTAGGCTAAAGCAATTCCTGCTTGGCAATGTTTAACTAACTCACAATGTTTGTTCTGTGAATTACAGACAGTCTTTACACCACTTGTAAGTCTTACCTGTAGAAGAGCCCTGCTTGCTGCTACTGAGCCTGGAGGTTCCTCCTATTCTCCTTCCCTGTGCTTTGTCATCACTGCCTGTCAGGCTCTTCATTGAAGTGGAGACTTTGGGAACAGCACATGAGAGAAGGTGAGCAGTGAAATCCAGCCCTCTTCCTTCCCAGCCATGCCTGGAGCCTTGGCCCTGAGCAAGGAAGAATGCTCGTGCCTGTTAGTCCATCTGGCTCCATGCCAAATATACATCACTGGTCAGCCAGGGAACCAAAGTCTCTTCTACTAGGGGAGAACAGTGAGATGTTGTGCTGTGAATCTGGCTGGAACAGTGTAAAGAATTTGCGCTTCCAGTTGGCTCTTACAGCTTCTCAGCTGGGAGTGCCTGCTCAGTCCTGGCTGAGTGGCTGTAACAGGGCACAGGCATTTCCAAGTGCTTTCTCCGTGGTGGCGTTAGGTAACGTAGCCGTGCTGCAAAGGGGCCCTTCCCAGAGAAACAGGAGTAGCTTCCAGGTGCCTCAGGAGACGTTCAGAGGGAAGCCGGTGAACAGGAGCGTGTCTGTGGAGTGGTCTGACATTGTCACCTGGGGCCCTTCTGTGCAGGGCTGCTGTGGAGCCACAGGGCAGGGCATGGCAGCTCCTCCAAAATGGGGAGGCTGCAGCTGCCTTGGCTCTGTGCTGCACGGGCACAGAAGACACTGTTGGCTGTTCGTGCTGCATGCCCAGCTCAATCACCCCTCTACTTCCCTGCCAGGAAAAAGGCACTGGAAACACAGGGGGAAAAGGCTACTGAAGATACATGTAAGAATTGTGCACCAACAAACCTGCTTTGATTTTCATTAAGTGTAAATTAAAGTAATCCTTTAATAGGCGTTGGAGTCAACCCATCATGAAGATTGTTTGAATATTCCATCCCTGCCAGGTGGGCAAGAGTCAGTGGGTAGTTTGTCCTGAGATCAAGCCCCACCCTTTCTATTCAGAAATCCCCCTTACTATTTAGTTAAAGTGCCTGAATGTCTCCCGAAAGCCTTCATGTAATATCAAATAATCTGGATTACAAACATTAGGATAATATGAGGTAATAGAATTAGATTATCTCAGCATAAACTAAAATAAGATTGTAATATTTATCCATTTTATTTGATGTAGATGCAAAAAAAGAAAATTTGCAGTTGGGTGTGGTATACTGTTTATGATTAAATGCTTTATTCATACTTGTATGTCAATCTATTAGTGTGCTGTTAATTCAAATGTTACTATGATGTATTTTATCGCTGTTAGCACATTTATCACAGGTAGATGTGAAACTTAGACAAAGGTGTACATTCTCATTAATGATGAGCAGCCTATTCATCTTACTAGAGTGTAATTAATGTTAGTTACGATACTTAATTTTTCACTGTTTGTCATGGTGCATATTTAGCATTTCTTCTGTCCTTTATCAATCTGCTCTCCTATCATATAAGCACATCAAAAAGATATATGTAAGTATCTGACCTGTTTTGAAGCCTAATTTTTATACTTTTCCAAGAACTGGTATGATTTTATTCTTATCCTGTAGGCAGCATATGTAGTTAAAAAACAGACTGTGAAGTGTTGTCCACTACTTTGTGTTCTGGGTTAGGTTTGCAATAGTAATATGACAATCAGTTAAAGAAGTAAAGCAGGAAACGTAATGAAGACAGAGGTACTACTTGCTGCAGTACTGTGCTGTGCTTGTGTGAGGTTGTAATGGTCCCAGTTGTTCTCCTGGATTTGCAATTACATGTTTTTTGTACTGTTAAGGATCTTAGTTAAATATGTTGCGTGAGTAATACAGTTCCAAAACCAATAGAAGCACGGTGTATCTGAAAAGAGTACGTTGTTTGGTAAATAAGTGTTACAACAGCTTGTTGTTACATTTGGGAGCATTGCTTTGTCAATAATGTTGTTAGCAGTCACAGAGCCAAACCACAGTCTCCTGTGCAGTGGTGCAAGAGGGGAAGGAGTTATGGCTAATGTGTCACACAGCAGGTGGGAGACAAGCTGTGCAGAGGTGGGTAAAAGGGAGTGAGCACTGAACACATTCTTGGATTTGCTCCCTAGCACGCCAATAAATCCAGCTGAGCTGGAATCCTAGGATAAGTCCATACGTTTGTATTGGTCCCAGGAACAACAGAATCACCTTAGCTGAAACCTGGGCATCAGAACATTTTTGTTTCTCAATCATCCATCATTCCCACTAATTTGAACTGAGAGAGAACTTATCCTTCCATTAATCACTGGTGAATAATTTTCCTTTCTAAAAATATTTTACCTGGGTCGACCAAATTCTTCAGGTGTGGAATGGATTTAGGATATATTTTCTCAAAATTTCAAGGAACTCTCTCTGAGAGAAAGCACACCAATTCCTTTTCATTAGTCTCTTAATTGGCAGACATTACACTTCTAATGTATTAGGAATTAGCTGTTATTTTCTGTGAGAGGACCTCTTTTGTAACTGCTGTTTGAATTCTAACACAGTCTACTGTTCATGCTAGTCATGACAGTGATTGCATCTCCAACATAATGAAATCCATCTTAAACTTTCATCCAAGCCATCAAGGACTTGCAGAACAACATGAAGTTATTAGAAAATCCTTAAATTCCTGTGTTTGGTTCCTCTACACTTCACTTGTGGTGGGTCAAAAGGGAATTATGATTAACCCAAAGCATACAAATGAACTATTTTAACATATTTCAATACGAAAATTCAATTTGGACACAATTACAAGTAGGTGTAATTGTAGTTTAGTAGCAAATTAAGAATAAAAATACTGAGATAGGTTTAGGCCTTTTAAACAAAATGATAGTTGAAGGTGCTCCATAGTGATTGAAGTACAATAATAGCCTGTAATGTGAACAGAATTGAGTAGTCTTTTTTCCATGGTACCAAAGCAAGGCTTCATAACAATGAGTTAGATTTCTATGACTGCACCAAAATCTTGTTATTAAAAAAAAAAAATAAACCTTCTTCCTTTGAATTTTCTGTGGCAGAAAGACATACAAATTTTCCATAATATAGCAAAATTCCTCAAACAACAGACTCTGGCATTCTCTTTCCTCCCACACATCCCTTAGCCCCGAGTCATTTGAATAGAGGGAATTGCTAAAACAAAAATGTCTCTTTTAACTGGTAAAGAATAAATACAAAGAAACTACGAAGTTGCCTTTAACCTTTTTGGCATTACAAAGCTAGTTATAACAACACACTGCAAAAAACACCAAAAAGGTGAGTATTTCACTCTGTTTTGATTTGACCATTTTGCTTTCAAAAGGAATTTATAAAAACTCCCAGGAACAATGAACATTTGAACTCAAAATGGTCCAGGTTTATTTTTACTCCAAAAGAAGAAGTCTCAATAGAGATATTGATTTTCTAGCATTCATCCAATATTGCACAGAAAATGGACCTGACCTTGCAATCCTTAGTGGAGACAAGGAAGCAGTCATTACAGTCATGGTTCCCATTGATTTTAGTGGGATTACTTGCATAAGTAAGGGTTTTCAGGATATGAGCCAGTGTTCCATTAGCAGTAAGACCAAGCGTACATGGATGTCAGATCCACTCCATTCCGAAGGGTGCAGTTTACCTTCCTGTTCTATATTTATCCTATGGTTTCATTACTGCCTATTTATTCATCATATTTTTTGTCTTCTGGCTCACAGAGCCTCATCATTATGTGAAGAGTACAAGTCCTCCTGCCATCTTGAGTGGGTTTTTTCATTGTATCTTCAAATGTCATTTTGAGCTCAGAGTTGAGGCATGCTCTTATAGTTCTTTCTTCCTTTGGTTCTGTTTTTTGTAATGACAAGAAAAATACTTTGGGCTAGGCATTATGTCTCACTGTATTTTTTAATTAATACATTTTGGAATTCTCTGGGACCAAATGAGAAGGAGACGTTACTGTTCTTTGCAAAGTAAATACAGAGCAGTAGAAAGCTAAAGCCTATAAGCCCTTTCCCAGAGTGAGTTTCTCCTTAACCTTCAGGAGGTTTCTTGTGCCCTGGGTCTCCTATAGGAATGTTACCACAGAACCTCATCGCTCAAATGGATAGAAACCTCCTAATTGTGGCTTTTAATTTATCCACTGATGTTTTATTCAGGTTTGTTCTTGTGATGCTTGTCCTTTATCTCAAATAGTTCTTTACCTGCTTTGGTATTTACTCACAGATGTGGCTATGGTAAAGAGTCACATCTCCTCTCTGCTGTCTTTTTGTTTCTTTAAATGTGAGCGAGGTGGAGGAGTGGTGTGCAAGAAACAGGATGACTGTATGTTTGTACAGTGCCTTGCACAATTGCCCAGTCATGGTTCAGGACTCCACAGACTGACTTTGTTTCAGCAGTGAGTAATAATGACCCTCCAGAACACATGTGCTTTATTCTGGATGGGACACCATTAATTCCTTCAATTTTCATTGAGATGCAGAGCTTTAGAACAAGAATACTAGCAACTGATTATTTTTGTCAGTGGCATTTTAAGAGAAATGAAGAAATGAAATGTACAGTATATTTCAGTTTGCAATGATCATTCTGATGTTCCATTTGCAATGGAAATGAGCATATAACATATTCATGTGTACAGATAAGGAAAACGACAAACATTAACAACACTTGCTCTATTCATTTATAATATTCAGTTTAAAAAAATTAAAATCCTTCCATTCCATAGTTTTTAGTTTTGTTTCAGCAGCACAATGCAAAACAAAACAAAAAAACAGGAATTAATGGATAAAATACACTTAATTACTTTCTAAGTAAGCATCCTGAAAATTACTATAATCTAAAACACAAATTCTTTGTAAATCTATTTACTAAAAATATATATAATTCCATTCCAATATTTTATTTTTATATGTGTATTAAAGATAAAATTGTTTATTAAATCAAATAAACAAAGAGAGAGAGAGAGAGAGTGTGTGTGTGTGTGTGTGTGTGTGTGTGTGTACATGCTTATGTTTTTGTGGCCAAGCAGCCTTTGATGTACAACTCTCAGCTTGTTTAAGTGGACTGCAGTGTTTGCCTTCTCAGTGTCAGTCAGTTTCTGCACAATTTAATCTACCACTAAAAACAAGTTTTTTGCTCTTATGGGTATGATACAGTATGCCAAGGATAAATCAGTGCAGCTTGCCTTCCATAAAATTTTAGGCACAGCCTGAAAATGCAGCTCTTTCCTTCTCTCATCTCAATGGGATGTTAACCTAACAATCACAATTTTAAGACAGGGAAATTGTTTTGAGCAAAAAATAAATTGTCCTGCTAGTGTTGTTTCATGGGGTAACATTAAGGAACATTGGATCTGTGGTGCACGGCTTATGATATCTGGGTTTGGAGGACTGGAGTGAAAGTAAGAACATGTAGAGAAAGAAGAATAAGAATGAAATATGAGTTCTAGATGGTTCAAGTGAGCTGAAGCAGTTCAGCAATAGACATCCCGGAATCCTGCAAAGAGGCTTATTCTCTGACTACCTTTGCTGGCACATTGCCATCTCCTGTCAGAGCCCTTGAGGAATTATTCTCTCTAAGAGTGAAGATTCCCTTTATTCCTCTTTTGTTGAGGTATCTAAAGATATTGGGCTTTAACTTACAGCTTATATTTGCTGAAAAAACAGGAAAAAGTATTTGTGGTTTTCTCTGCAGCTGCTAGGAAAGAGAAGTCCATTATTTGTAGCCATAGGGGAGCAGCTTAGGAGGAGTCTTTTGTCTGCGTCTGTTTTCCAGGGCCAGGAGTGGAGGCTTTTGCCAGCTGGGAAGGGCAGGCTGGAGCAGCCACTGCTCCTACTGCTCCAGGGTTTCCCAGGGAGGCTTGCAGGCCAGGTATCGTCCAGTGTGTGACATTTGTACCTTCATGTGCTGTGAAACGAGTTCTCAGCTTTGGATCACAGTGAGGAGAAAATGAGCTGCCCCTCAGGAATGTGAAGCTGAGGTCAACCTGCCCACAACCCTCCTTCCCACCAGCAGCACCTCGGGGCACCCGCTGGCACCTGCGGGATGTATCTCTGCAAATGCGGCCGCAGAACAGCAATGCCACAGGTGTAAAATCCTTATGATCAGATGCTCCCCGTTGTGACCCTGAACAAGTTAATCACATCACTCCTCTTGAAGGTTCACACTGCCACAATGTAATTTATGTGGGCCCTCAGAGATAGATGGAGACATCAGCTATTGATCACAAGGAATTGCTGCCAGTCAGTCTTTCTGTTGGTTTCCATCCTTGTGATGTGTTTTAAAAAATATTGTATGATTCAAAATTATACCTGTAAAAACTACAAGTAGAAAATTACTGTGTGCATTTATCTTTAATAACAACCTTGCGAATATTTATAGTACCAGTAGAGTAGAATGTGTTATACTACTTTATTTCCCAGTCTGTTTTAAATGATATTATTCATTAGTAGTCGTGAAGTGGTATGACATATTTTTATGTTGCTTGTTTGTAACAAAGGTTCTTAATACCTTTTCATAATGAAAGGGGATAAATGCTCACATGGAATATGGGAAATTGTGCTTGTAAGAGCACAGAGTGTTGTCTTAGGGTATTAAATTAGCATTTGGTACTGCTCTGCTTTGTGTGTATTTCTAGCAAATGTTTCAGTTACAAATCACTATAATACACCTGTATTCTGGTTCTTCAATTCATATAGCATTTAAATCCTGCCAATACTGTGTCTTATAAATATAAATATGCAATTTAATTTAATTCAAGCATGCAACACATAATTTTTCTTCTAATTAAAATATGATATTGCAATATGGGAGCTGCCTGGGGCAAACAGGACACATCAGATTGCCAAGCCAAAGGGAATACAGAGACAGCTCTGAAGGCTGGTAGGAGGAAGGCACCAACCCTCTTAGCCCTCAGTGATGCCCCTTCTGGAGGCTGTGGTGTTTCTGGTACCTGCAGGTCCACCCTGGACTTGCTGGGTCCACTGCTGAAGAGAGTGAGGAGCCTGGTGGGAGCAGGGCACACAGCCCGGTGGTGCTGCACTGCCCTGGTGTCCTGCCATTCCTGTGCAAGGTGGCAGGAGTAGCACAGCTGGTTAGTTTTACTGCTGTCTTGTCGTGTGCTGAAGTTGGCTGATGTGCAGCAGAACTCAAATAGTTCTGGGGAGGAGGAACTGCCCGACAGCAGCAACTCGAGGGATTCCTATCACGCTCTCTCAGAATCGAATAAAACAACACAAATAGACCTTCTGCATAATGACTCAAAAAACTGTTAATGGCCATCTTTAGTAACATAGCAACAGCCAAACCCTTGAAAAGAGGAAGTTTTCATTGAGAAAGCGTTTCATTTTAAACATTGAAATTTGGTGTAGAGTATGAAATAAGTTTTGAAAGGAAGCTGATGATTAAGAAGAAATGCAGTGGGCATTTAATAAATGGAGGAACCGCAAGATAATTAACTGGCATGCATAAAGATTCATGCTTTATACCAAAATTTTAATTTTGCACATAAATGTGCCTGATGTAGGCAGCATTTAATCACCTAGCTGACAGGAGTAACTACTTTCATTTAACCTTGACTGAAGATCATGAATTCTAACAGGTTTAATTGGATACATCATTTAACAGAATGAACAGAGCAAATTTTTCTCAATTCATAGGTTCTGATTGACATGCACCAGCAATAAGGCGTTGCACAATTAAAGCTGATCTGTATTCCTGGCCTGGGCAGCAATTGCCATAGTGATGTGACACTGTTTGATCACTGTGGCACTGAAACTATACTGAATTTCCCCTTGTTTTGAAAAGGGCAATGCTTTAAAAAAAAGAGAGAGAGAGATAAAGAGATTTTGGCACTTTAATTTTTTTTTTTTTTTACATTAATCACATTTATATGCACAAACTGTAAGGGAAGGAACTTGTTATCAGTAACTGTGGGGAAAGAAGGAAAAATGGTATATTCTTTTATCCATTTAGCACATTATTTACAGAAAGTCAAAAATGTGGATAGTCAAATGAATTGTAACACATTAAGGGCCTGATTGTTCTGGGCTTCCATTTGAATAGGGGGTAGTGCTGTGCGGCTCTGATCTTCACCTGCAGTTTGGCCTCTCTGTCCTCGTCCAAATCAATTCCACATCACAGATAGCTTGCCAGCTGAGTAGGAGTACTGAGAAGGGGTGCTCATATTGCAAATGAGGTAGAAAAGAATGAGAAGGAAGAAGTGGTGCCCAATAGGGAGCTGCTACATACCTTTCCTGGCACACAGTGTTTGATATGATAAAACCCTGAAAAAATTTATGGAGGAACTGGCAGCTTCCTTTCCCCATATGGCTCCTGTCCATCCACATGCCAGGGCTTTCACTGCCTCTGGCACCATTCACAATTTCTGGGTTTGACCTTTATGAACTAGAATTGTTTTTCCACTGTTTAGTCACATCTATATCTATGTATGTGTATATATGTATATACAGACATATATACACATATGCACACACACACACACACACAAATCATAGAATCAGTTGGGTTGGAAAAGACCTTTGAGATTGTCAAGTCCAAATATACACACATATGTGTTCTTTTATGTCTCTGTTTTCCACTTAAATTTTTGCTTCCAATACATCTTTTTATTTTATTATTTTATTATTTTATTATTTTATAAGGACGTTTACCAAACACTGAACCGTCTGAGGACAAGGTAGTAAATAATGTGTTTCATCCTGGCTGCAGTAAAAAATCATTCCTAGTTCCTGAACAACCTGCTAAAAAAAGCTTCCAGCAAGTTCTGCCATTCACCATAAGCATTGCAGCATCCATGCTCAGAGCAGCAGGTAGGTCTTTTTTTTTATCTCTCTCCATTGCCTTAGGTTCAGTGCCTAAGCACTGGTCCTGATCTCATCTGCAGACAGGACCTATTGCTACCCATTTTTTAACCTTCATTTCTGTAGAGGCAATGCAGACTCGTATCAAGCAACAAGCTTTGTAGGAGTGCACTGCAGTGAGAGGGAGACAGAAATCTTGGGGAAAGCTGGAATCCTGATTGGTTAAAGGACATGAACTTTAAAGTCAGGACCACTAGATGTATTAAAAATTTTTTGTCATTTTAGAAGCCTCTAACACTCAATTATTTGCAATACCTTTCACTGTCAGCAGTATTTCCCACATAATTCATTGTAATACTAGCAAAGGCATTTGCCAGTATAATTTATCACTCAGTAACATTTTTAATTTTCAGGTAAATGATTGGGCCACATCCCCAGCCTCTGCAGCCACATAATGTCCCCTGGAACCATAGTGGATGCTTGTCTGCATGCATGGAGAGTTCTCAGTCAGTGCCTGGATCTTCCCTGTGCACGAAGGAGAGCCAGGACTTGGTCAGTGTGCCTCACTTAGCCTTGCTGACATAGACCCTGCCTGCTCTCACCTGGCATGGAGGCACAGAAGCCCGGAGGTAACGTGTGCCTGCTCTGCTCACTCCTGAGTCCCTTTAGGCTGGATGTGTGCTGCAAAACTACTGGGCCCTTCTTTAAAGGGTATCTTTGCACCACATTTAGAAATGCTTGGGCTGTAATTTGCTCCAAATTTTTCCAAACCTTCCCAATAAAATATCTATCTGTCCCATCATACAGCTCCTTTTGATGTCCTATAATACACAGAGGTACCTCATGTTGTCCTTAAAGCGGGAAAAAATAGTGCGCCTTGAGGCACTCATTCATTTCCCTAGGGAGATTCCCAGTGGTGTCCCTCGGCTGTTCCCAAGGTGCACAGAGCTTGTCAGGAGCACAGCTGGGATAAAGCACAGCCTTTTCCCAGGAACCATGCTCAGCTCTGACTTTCCCTGGGGAACAACACGGAGTTCAGCAGAGCTGCATTTGCCGAGCTGAGTTTGCTGCCGGAGGGAACCGTGTGTTTCTCTGGCTACTGTGACAGCCTCAGGCTCTGGCCACTTGCTCTGTTCACGTGCACCCAAGGACACCTCTTCTGGAGGGTCTTGCTACACTGGGGTCTTACAGAACCTTTCTGACCTTTCATTTATCAGCTCCCCAGCCAGATCATCCTCTGCACTCAGAGTCATTTGGGTGCTTTGCCCATGACTCTCAGAGTTGCATGTCACTCTTGCCTTGTCTTCCTGCTCAGTCATCCATGCTGAATTATCTTCCACTCCTCCCTCTGAGAATAACTAAGGGTTTGACCTAGCAGGACTGTTTGTGTGGTTAAATGCTTTGATGTACCAGACACTGAGCTGCTTTCTCCCAAGTCTAAGGTAGCTGGGGATTTCGGGCTGTTTTAGGAAACAGTTTGTGCACTGGGAAGCATATGAAAGTCAGCAAAGGACACCAACTTGTGCATTTTCAAGTATTTTATCTATCATCTTTAAACCCTTCTGTTTTCTTTTGTTTTCAAACAGCTGCCTTTTCAAGTTTTTGATCTGCTATAGAGGATATACAGCTGTAATAAGAAATATATTTCTCTTCTTTTTAGAATCCTCAGGGAGAAGAGGACATTCCTTTTTTACTGATACAAGATCAATTTTGTAATTTCATTTTCAAGGCTGTTCTGAACAAGTAGGGGAAAGCAGAAAACCAACCACATTTTTCCCCAGGTTTTCCTGAATCACCTTTGGACCATGACCTAGACAAAATTCTGAGCACAGTTGATGTTTACACTTTTCTTGCACTGTGTAATTTAACTTTCAGCAATATAAAATGGGACAGCAGAAGTATTTTTATGTGTTCTTACAATGCCCAAAGTTGTTTGTTACTGTTTTTATATGAAGGAACTAGACACAATCCTGGCTGCCTTAACCACTGCCTTTGAGAGAGCTACAGCTGAGAAAATCCGCTGCCAGGAAGAAGTGAATAGAACTAACAAGGCTATTGAGCTGGCCAACAGATTAGTGAAAGGTCTGAGGTGAGGTCCTACAGGGCAGGCTAATGAAGCAGCCTACAGAAAGCACTTCTTTGTTATACACTACTGATCTGGCAATAACAGAGGCACTTAGCAAAGAACCTGATGAGCTGAAAAAATTATGTCATTATCATTCATTTTTTTCATAATAGAAACATGGTTTTGACCTTTGCATTTTCTTACATTTTTGCTTCATTGTGGTATATATTTACTGTAAGATTATCCGATAACTAACCTATCCATGAACATTAAGAGAAGTAGTCGATTGAGGATATTGACAATGAAGGCAATTTCTTAAAATGCGATGACTATATTTGTAACAATTAAACAACCTAATGATACTGCCCAGGGTTGGGATACATAGAATAGAATATAATACAATTTGCACTACTTAGTTAAGCAATATGATAATTCTGTAATTATCTTTCTGAGATTTGCAGTGGGTATTTCATGAGAGAATAAATAATGGCAGAGCCATGAATTATCAAAAATCCATATTGTCTGTTGATCCAGGCTGACTCAAGGGAATCCATACTCACTGATGGATTTTGTCATTTATCATTCATCTACTGATGAGGATACTTTTTACACACACACCCACCCACACACACACATACTTTTCACAGATACTTATTTTATTGTAACATGCATTTAAGAAATCTCTTGTGGTGACTCACAGCCATTATAGGTTTTGTCCCCTTCTACCTAGTACTTTCAAGCTGAGTGTGATAACCAAACACATAGTAACCAGCAAAAATAGAAGATCCATTTGTTATTAAGCGAAATTATATGGCTGAGTGTGGCTACTGGAACTTAAAATATAAAACAGGGCTTAAGAGTTATTTCCTGAATCAATAGAAAGGATTTATTGACTAGAGGGGAGGGAGGGCAGTGCAGAAGGCCCATTGTTTCTGTTTAAAGAAGCAAGATGAATGCATTTAAAATGTTAACATCCTGGCTGAAAGTGTAATGTATTTTAGTGATTAATAATGCCTGTAAAACTAAACCATGTACCTAATACAGAATAATAAAATAAATAACAAAGCAGACCTCTTTAAAGTTTGACAATAAATGATTGTTTTAAGGTGTCTGATAATAATATTTTCTTCCACCTAACATATCATATTGTTTGGTTCTCCCATGTGCCTCCTGCTGGGCCTGACAAGTGCTGGAATAGCATACATATAGAGATGAAAGGCAAAGTGTGGGTATGCTGGGGAGGAGGCATAATGAAAAATAATCTAAAGGAGGAAACAGAGATGAAAGGAAAGAAGGAAAGTTGAGCCATGCACTAGATGAAGACAGTAAAATGAGGTTTAGTGGAAAGTCCTTGAGTTAGTACCTCCCAAAGCACCGGCTCCATGAAGAAGGTGGCCAACTCGACAGATTGGTGATGGGAAATTGAATTCATTCCTGTTGTTAGCTGAACTGCATTTGGTCAAAGGCAGTAATAACCATATGACAGCTATTTGAAGACTTATAGGAAAAAAATCCATTTTAATCCAGTCTGTGGTAAACAATAGGTCAGTGTTTACTATTAGCAAACAGTATAATACTGATGCTGATGTACTGTCAGGCCTGGCTGGTATTTTGCCTTATTCTTGGCTGAGAAGACACTCTCTTATTTCCTAGTTGTATGGCTAAGTTATTGCTGTGTGGAAAATGGCTCAGGAAATGGGAAAATAAAATTGTTCACAGTTTTTTATAATAAGCAAACATGTAAAAATTTATTAACTCTTCTTAATACACCTTTACAGTGGAAATAATAGCAAATAATCAAATGTGTGTGTTTTCTTCTTATTCTTAGGGGAAGTGTTGAAACAGCAGGAGATCTAATAGTGTCTAGCCAGGATCCGAGGGAAAGGCTTGCACCAACTGTCACGTCAAATCTCTTTCTGACTTTATGGCATAAAAGATCTTTCCCAGAACTAGAAATTGTTTTTTCCTGCCTTCTTCTCTGTGCCCTGGCACGCAAGGACTCTTTTGGGTGGTTGCATGAGTAGTTGTTACTCTGTACCAAGGAATTCTTTGCTTCTGACAGGTGCCAATTAAGCTGTGGACATCTGCCCTGGAGGTATTGAATCAAGCTGACAACTCATTTTCTATCAATCAAACAACAACCATTTTCAATAATTTCCCATCCAGCTGGGACTGAATTTGCAAAAGTGATCTATGTATTAGAGACATTACCAATCCACAGAGACATTCAGAACCATGATTATGTTCTGTTTTCCCACAGAAACTCTTGCATCTGCACAAGAAAGCAACAACTTCTTCCACTACACGGGAGAATGCTGACAACTCAATTTTGGTCGCTGCCAAGCTCAACTTACAACAGTCAACTCACATCAGACTAGAAGGGTAATTTTTGCTTGCCATTTGCAAATCCTTTCTGTTGATCCTCTAATTTATGGGAATCTGTAAGGTAATACTGAAGTATTCACTACTGTTTAGCCACTGTAATGGGCAGTTGTTTAATATATGCTTTGTAAGGTCTTTTCAATCCTGTTTTTTGGGTAGAAAAGGAGAGCAGGGCTTATCCCCAAAGCAGTATTAGGAACAAAAGAAAACGCAATGCAGAAATGTGTTCCAGATTGCAACTTTTCTTTCCTGTAATAGTTTATTTTCAAAATGGTACTGGCATGAGCCAAAATGTCATTCTGCTTTTCCTGAAAAGGATTAAGGTAAGTGAGGGATGCAGATAATACCTTCTTTACAGATACATATTTTTTTAAATACATAATCAGAAAAAACCCTATTACTATTCCATTCCCCTTTTGACCTGTTAAACCATCATGTTACTTATATGAACTTCCTTCAAATACTTTATTTAATAGAACAGTATATTTGAAGGCAAGGAACTGGTAAAACTGTTCTCCTGAAAAGGACCGAAACCATGCCCCTTGCTAGTGTTTGAACTACATTTGCCAGCTGACTGGAGCTACAGGTGACAACTAACCCACAGACCCTAGGAATATGGTTAGCAAGCCAGAACAATAGGCAGGCTCACCTTCTTCTTGTATTCTGTCAAGTGCTGTGCCCTGCTGTTTGCATAAGGGAACCAGCTTTTATTATTCTATTCTCTCCCCACTACTGTGCACCAGGGCAGCACAAAGCAAAATTTAGTGCTTGGATATAGTATTTGCTTGCTAACAATTGTTATAGTTAAGGCTGCACTGAGACTTCTGTCTTAACCTGCTGTTCTCCCATGATCAGAATATTCTTTAAAAAAAAAAATCTTTTCATGTGAAATTTTTTGTGCTTGTTATCAGCTGAAATATGATTTTTTTGGCAAGCCTGAATAAAATTCATTCATTCATATTTGAATTATGCAAGGAAGTGGGTGTGGGGAGAAAGGTCTCTTCTTTAGCACATTCATAATTCACAAAAAAAGCTGCATATTACAAGCTGAAACTTTCCAGGTGGCTAGTTTTGACTGAAGGGTAGTCTTCATGCTAATTACAAAGAGAGAATGACTGAATGAAAAATGAAAGAGAAAAATTAAAAATGACACATATTGTGATTAACTCATTTGTTTTGTAGGTGTGTCATACAAAGTTCCATTGTGAGCCACTTAGAGCAAGTTTAAAGTAACAATTTCATTTAAGTTACGATGAACTACTATAATTACATAATATCAATGTTTTGTGCTGCAATTTCACTAAGAATTTCCCTACAGAAGCTGCAGAAGCTTTTACTTATGCAAATGTGGAAGCTCACAGTGAAATCAGTGCAGAATCTTATGAATCATTAACTCTGGCCAGAATGCCGGTCTGGGGAAGGGGGGGAATGGTGTGTGGTGGCAATAACTCTCCCTGTGCCCTGGGTCTCCCTGAACGCTGACCTGCTGAGGAAAATAACTCTTGAGTTTTTGCAGTTTGTTCCAGCTTACTATACTGACTGCCAGGGACACCACACCACTACAGCTTTGTCATTCTCTTTTCCTTGCTGTAGTCCCATATACCAGTGGACATAACAGGTGGCACATGATCTGATCAGCACTCTGTGACTGGCTCTCCACAGTACCAAAGAATTGCTGCAGTGGAGGGTACGTGGGTAGCAGAAGTGTTACAACAGTCTCAACCCATGGAAAAAAGGTGCTGTGACATGCAGTTCCATGCTCTCATAAAACACCTGGAAATGAAATACAAGCATGTACATAAAGCAATATAACTCTAATTTTAAACATCTGAAAGTGTAATTGGCAATGGTTCCCATAGTAATTGCTGACCTTGCTCCAGATGGAGCAAGATGAGATCAGATATTCCCCAGCACTAAGTTCCCAGTAACCTCTTGAAAGCAAAATAAGAACTGTTGGATTCAGTGCAGGAATTATCTTCTGGTTTTTTTTTCCTTCTGAGTGAAATGAGAAGAAATACATTTTTTTCTAGTGATGCTGCATATTTTTACAAAACAAAAAAAGTGAATGCTGAGACACAGCAGCTTCTGTAAATAGGAATTTAAAACTTAACCTTTATTATTCGAGGTTCCCATTCTAGGAACCTCTTTTGATCCAGTCACTGTGTGGATGGATGATATACAAATTGCTAAGTAGAAAAGTGACAGCAGTGCTTGACTACGGCCACATAAAAAGTCCCTGGTCTTACATTTACAGTCATTGTTGGCATATACTGATCAAATCTCAGCACCAGGGAATAAATGGATAAAAGTTATATCTGTTTCAAATTTATAAATTATCTATTTGAGTCAAAAAGGGAACTAGTATGACTCTATAGGTGTGTGTCTTACAGCAGGTATTTCTTGTTGGAGGCCCTGTTTTTGGTAGACAGCTTGGAAGAAATTACTGATCTTGTACTTGACCCAGTATATTGCAAGTTATGTTCAAAGTATTTTTAATAGTCTGTTATTTTCTTCATCAGCTCTCTCTCTGATTGTGTTCTGCAAGTACTCAAAGTACCTTCCTCTGAAAGCTCTTTCTTGTATCACAGTTACCTTAACTCCCAAGGATCGCAGTACCCAAGACATATTGACTGCAGTTGGATTTTTACTTGTCTGTTTTTCTTATTTGTACCCTTGCATGCACTACAGTTCAATGACTGCAATTTGAGCACTCCTTTCTATCTAGCCGAACAATCCTCCCCAACACACCACCATCCTGATGTGTAATCACTCAGGAGACATAATCATTCACTTAGAACTAAAATAATTCTCCTACCATTTGCTCCTTGCCTTCATTCTGCCCTTTTTCTCTGATTTATTGCACTTATATTCCTTATGGAAATATTTTGACATCCATCCCCTCTATTCAAGTCTTGTACCCACCCTTGGAGGGAGTGCTTTGAACAGCCGAAGGCCAGGATGAGTGTGTATCTCATATACTCACCCTTTTATTCCAGTGTCATTTCCCCCACCTCCTCATTATATTCCTGAGCCCTTCCCCTCCTTCTAGTTTAGCTAGTAGTACCTACTGTCTCTCCTACAGCTACCAGGAGTCCTCCCTTCCCTCCCCTGCCCCTCTAGTAAATGTCAGAAAATATTTCCTCACAGCCTGTGCTACTCAGGATTGTGTCTGGGTACAGGGATCCTGAACCCCAGCCTTGTGTAAGCTCTCTAAATCACTTGACCCCCAAAAGGTTGCCACAGGACAGCACTTATCTACAGCGCAGGCTAGAAAGAAAGTGCTGCTAATGCACTGATTTCCTTCAGCTCCGAGCTTTGCATCTATTTAGACTGCAAGAAAGTATTTAGTGAGCCAGAGCACTGAAATTGTTCCTCTTCAAGCTTAGTCAAAATTACTGTGAAATTCCTTAATTAAAAAGTTCAAGCTGAGAAGCAAAATGCTTTTGAATTCAGCCATCACAGTGCCCCACTCAGTACTGTACCTTCTGCCTCTTCTTTATTGCTCCCCTCATGTTCTCATGTTACCTCACGTGCTGCCTGTTGGTTTTGCTTGTTACGAGTGTCCCCCCCAGCTGCCACCCCCACACTGCATCGACAAGCAGAAAGCTCTTTATGCCAAGTGTTGACCTAGTGGTGTGCACCAGCCCAGGGTGGAAGAGCATCTTGAATTTCTTGCTCCCCTGGGAGCATTTGATTAAAGGAGGATTTTCATGGTGTGTTGAGATTCAGAACGTGGCTGCTATTCACTAACTGCTGGTTGCAGTTCTGAGCCTGAATGCATGCTGAGGCTCTGCTCCTTTTGTGGCAATAAGCTGAGTCCGGGGACAATGAATTCTGCACGATTTTCCCCAGTGTGCAGAAGAGCAGAAACAAGACCATGCTCACACTCACTGCCAGGATGCTGTTCTTGCACTCAGGGACACAGGTTTCACCAGATTTTTCACTGATTCTCCAAAGAAGGCTTCCAGACCCGCTCTCTAAATGGGTCTCTTGGATCTAAAGAACTTGAATCGGCTTCAGTGGTACTTGCAATGCATGAGGTCAGTTTGGAAACATTTGCAAAGTCCCGACTGAGGACATTCCATGAGTGTCTGCACTACTCTCACACCTGCACAGGCCTTGGAACAGCACTCGGAAATGCTGGATACCTCACAGCACAGCGTGCCTTTTACAGACCTCAGTAGGCCAAATCTGATGCACAAATACTCACATGTGCTTCTCCCTATGCTCACAGGAATACACAATCTAAATTAATTTCTGCTATTATAAATCTAGAAACACTTTTCTATAGCCCAGGAGATGGCTCTGGAGTCACAACAGAGATGTGTTGTGTACAGATGTACAGAATACAGTTCACAATTTTATTTCTTTCTTCTGTTTCTAGTAATTGAAGATTTAATTACTAAAACCTATGCTTACAATGAAACTTGAGGAAAAAAGATTATTTGAGAAGGAGGCATGTATTTCCTTTATTTCCTATGGTTTGATTTAGGGATTTGCAAACTTTCCACTTCAATCTGAACTCATAAAGAGAAAAATTACTTTAAAATTAAGTTGACAGGGCTTTGGAATGAATTATGGATACTTTTTTTGGCTGTTGACAGTAATTTCATTTGGGATATTCTTGTCGCTGAGAAGCTGTAAACAACAAGACTCAGAACAGCAGAAATACAAATAAAGAAAAACAACTAGAAGAATTAGATCGGCTACAATAATAATAATAATTTTCATGCTGAATTTGGCTCCTTTGAGTCTAAACCAAATATGTTTATTTTTTAGAATTGTATTTATTTAATAATCTGTATTTTCCAATTTACTTATCCACGGTGAATATATCCATGTGTATGTGTTTTACCTCCAAGAATCACTATGTCTCCATCATGAGGAAAATAAAATAAAACTTTTCAAATCACCATAAAACTAAATCTGCAAGAGGGGAATTTTAGTGTTCCATTTTACATACCATATAAAAGTAGCTTTCCCTGGGTCATTTTTTCCACAACTCCTATTAGTGCTAACTTGTTAAAAATTGTGTCACTAGACCCTAGGACTACAAGGAGCTGTTAAACCATTTACCCAAGAGACCAGCTAAAACACAAGCAGCACCAGAGGAAGGATTAGTGAGCAGGATGCTCAGACACTCATTTCTAGCTTGGAGTGGCCACAGCTGATTGCAGTTACATCTGGCCACTGGATGTGTGCCTCTCCATGTGAAAGCTGGGGACACTGAAAAGTTAATAAAAGCATTTTCCAACTCCATAAACGCATTGCAGGGCATATGACATTCCTTTCTGCTATGGTGATGGATATGACTGTGTATCTTGTGCAAGCACTTACTGGACATGCAAACCAGGAAGTGGATATTAAAAATAACTGTATTATTAAATGAGGAATCAATTAAGAGATAAATATACCCTTAATAGTAAGCAACTGTGATCAGGTAGTATCAGTTGTATTTGCATATCTTTTCCATCATCAAAGTGCTTTTAAAACCTTCACATTTACTCACAGTATGTCTCTCTGGAACAGGAAAACAAGATGATGAATGAAGCAAGAGTGCAAAGGACTTGACCAAAAAGTATCAGCAAGTCAGCAAACTAAAACTGTATGCTATCAATAAAATCCTTACAAGAATCTGTCACAAGGGTTGTGTTTTTAGTTGGGCTGCAGGAATTTAATGGGCAAAGATTTGAAAATTATGACCAAGCTGGTTCGCTCTTCTAGCTTCATGCTTGACCTGCAGTCTGCAGAAAAAAAATTGGAAATTATCTTTGAGCTTCACGTAGTTATCATGCCTGACCTGTCCTAATTCATGTAAGATGTTTCAAAGAAACAAGTTGATAATGATCCAGGCATTCATAGCATGCATGTGTTTGCCTTGTCATGGTATTATCCTCACACAGTCTTTAGACAACCTCAAACATTACAAAAATCGTTGCCATTATAAAATTTCTTACTTTTAAAATCTAAAGATTACAAAGAAGCTATTTCAGAGAGCAAATAATATAATATTTAGAAGGAGTAAGCAAACATTTTGCTAAAATCATTCTGGGGAAAATAAAAACCTCCAAGGATTTTGAAAAAGGCAGATGATCACGTGTAGCTTAAAGAAACTTTTACCAAATTCCACCATAGCTGCATTCGAAAGGTAAACTGTGAGAATTCACAAAATTCCAGGCAAGGAGATTCCCCTTTCTTTAGAAATCTATATATTTTAGGCATATTTTTCCATAATACTTTGTGATATTACGTATCACAGTACTTTGTGTTGTCATTTACATGGGTGAAGTAAAGACTGGCAGCAATTCCACTGATCACTTTGAACTGAAAAACCACACAAGATGCTGACATAGAAAATCACCCCTTGATTTCTTGAGAGTTAAATTGCATCTGCAAACCATGTCAAGTTCCACTTGGAGTAAGCTCTGGTGTCTAGTGCATTTCTGCCACTGGTTATTCTTTCTTTTTGTTTCTTCAGATAAGATATACTTGCATTCTAGCTGTTAATGAAAGAAGAAGATAATTTTGAAATGCTTAGTCACTTTAATACTTTTTTACTGATGCTGTGAAGAAGTGACAGAATCCTGTAGTTAACATGATTCAAAAGATAAGGGGGAGGAGAAGGTGGAGAAAGATTATATTAAATGGATTTACATTGCTTTTACAACTGAATTGTTTTCAGTATAATGTCACGCTCTTAGTGTGGGGGATTCTGCATGTGTCGTGATTCTACAGATGTTCTTGCACACTACATGCAGCTGCACTATTTGTAATGGGCAAATTTAACAGCAAGATGCTTGTTACATGTTCCCTCTATTCTTAGTTCACAAAAAACACCAAGGGGAAAGAAGTCCACTACCCGATAGCTTGCTTGCTTCCCTTCTTTATATACTCTTTTAAAACACTTTAAAACAAATTTTGGAAACACCATCTTTTGTACTACATTCTGTAACACCTGCAATTACAGATCTATTACTTTGCTAAAATGGTTTTGTTCATTCTTATGTTTATATGGCTAATTAAGTAATTTTAAGTACTTGAAAAGGTCATATTCCTGACAGTGGGGGGTTCTTCAAGAGTTTGATCCTTCGAAAGGGAGAGTACTTTCTGATAAGTGCTCCTGGTAAGTATCCTCTGTTCTCAGTGACTGCAGATAAAGCTCAGAAGCACTCCATGCAGCAGTATGGCAGAACCAAGTGCTGGCAGAAATTTTTCAGAGTTAAACTCAGAAGAGCTCTCCTACTCTTCTAATCTTAAAATCCTGAATCCTGTCCTCTAAGTATTCTCTTTCCTAAACTTTGTTGGTCCAAGGCCAGTGTGTTAATCAGCTCTTCAGAGGGGACCATATCCTTGGGTTCAAGCTTCTTGATGATGTATCCAGGAAGCAGAACAATATTTTGCAAAAAGCAAAAAAAAAATTTTAAAAGCAATTTTTTTTTCTCTTGAAAAGCCTATACCATACTGAAATATGGGTCATCTGGTTAGTGGCAAGGGAGGTAACTGAAGAACTGGCAGTGCAAGGAGATATTTGGACTTCAGAAGAACAAACCAGAAAGCTGAAGTAGAAGCACAACCAACTAAACCAAACAGGACAAAAGTCAAGAAGACAGAACAAGTTAAGGGTGTTACACTGAGTATATGAACAAAAAATAGATGTTATAAATGAAACATTTTCATGTAATTACTGTATCTCCTACAGTACAAGAAAGACATTAACATAGTGGTGCTACTGCAGTGGGAGCTGTAGCAGAGAGCGTGCTAGGACAGGCTGAGGGCCCTGCAGTTCTCCGGCCTTGAAAAGGCCAGGAGGGCAGGGGGATCTGTTGCTGTCTGAAAATACTTCCCCAGAGGCTAAAGGGAAGACAAAGCCAGGTTCTTCTTAGGGGTGCACAAGGACAGGAAGGAGGCAACTAGCAGAAATCTGAGCAAGGGAAATTCAGACCAGGGATTAGGAAATTCACCATGAGGGCAGTGAAATATTGGCAGAGGGGCCCTAGGAGGTTGTGGCCCTCTCAAGGTGAGATGTCTCCAGATGAGGAGGTGTGTATGTCCTGTTCTTGAGAGTAACCACACTTAACAGATCACCTAGATATTAATATCTATACTTGTAACATTAAAATATTCACATATTTACAAATATGGTTGAAACTGTGTGTGCTTATAAAACACACAAGAAAAGATGGATCAACATAGTATTTTTTTTTCCCCACGGAAAAATCAAGTTTTAAAAATAAATATATCATTTATGTACTATTGTACTGGAGGTATTTTAAAGCATCTTTAATGTTGCACATGGTGGAAACACTGCATATACATAAAATACATAGTCATGTATCAAGTTGATGAGAAAGTTCTTGATAGGAGGAAGCTGATCAGATAATTTTAGAAATGTATAACAAGTGTTTCTGTTATTAAAGATGTGCATCTGTGAACACAGACTGTCAAAGAAAAGGGAATATTCAGTGAGTCTTTTCAGAAGAAAGTCAGCAAATAGCATTGAAACATGCAATAGATATGTGAAGATATTAGTTTCCAGTCTTCAGATGATTGCTTAGCTCAAAAGTTAAAACAGATGTGATTATGACATCTCTCGTTCTCTTTCTAATCAATCTCTAAACATATCTATGAGATCTGGCTGTGTTTGTGTACAGAGCCAATTTCAGAAATGGTGGTGAACTACCTCATGTAAAACCTATCTGATGGTGTCTGTGAGTGTGCATCTCTGTGTGACGTGTCTTAGATTCAGACATATTCTTAATTATCCTATATCTTTATCAGGTTACACACTGGTCTTCTGCGGCTACAGGAATTTTTAACTTAGCACTACAACCTATAGCTCTCAGTTTAATAATTACAGTATTCCTGCTGATTGTGCAAATTATATTGGCGATGAAAATCAAACACTTTTTGTTAGCTGGCCTCCTGATGGCAATGAAGAAATACAAGTCAATCAGATCTTGAATTATTCTAATTCAAAAGAAGTTAGGAAAGTGTGAATGCTTCCAAGGTCTACTGCTCAGTCGTGATTCTGCAGTCATAGAAGGGTTTGCAAATCCATGCTGAACTCTGCAATTCACAGACTAAAAGGGACTTTATAGCCCAGTAAATGTGATTTAGCCATTATTATTAAAAAGCAACAAGGTTTGTATTGACATGATAGTGTATGGACTCAGAAGTTCCCTGGGTTTGTCTGGGCCTAAATAGATTTTAAGTTGGTTTAGCTGTGATAGCAATTGTTCAGCTGTGAGGCTCTCTTGACTAAATTTTAGTTTAACTTTAGTTTATGGTAATAACAAATGGTTATTCATTGTGGACTGAAAAGCCTACAGCTCTAGAGTCATCTGTGGGGAAGAGTGCAGACATAGATGACACAAATAAGTCATTTAATCACAGTAAGCTGACAGTGTTAAGAAAACATATAAAACTAAATCAGGCACCAGACTGAGGAGAAAGACATCCCCCCTCCCATGAGTATCACGCTCCTCCTCTGATAGCTCATTGTAATACTCCCCCATTCCTTTTGAGAGATACCAAAGTGTCAATCTTAAGATCCAAAGGAACACTGCAGGAATAAGCACAAAGCCAGAGAATAGGGAACTTTTTATGTAGCAATTTTCCCCTATTTTTAATGAGGTCTTCCAGTATTCATTAAGTAACTTTGACTATTATACTGTTTAAAATAGTAGTTGGACTACCAATAAATTCTTGCATTCATTTATATATTTTGCCTTTTACCAATACCTTTTTGACAATCAGAAGGCTCTGAGTGTAATATCACATCATAACATTGCCAACATCTTTAAGGACCTGGAAGCTGAAACGAGCACCATGAAGATCACTGAAGCTAACAAGCACTTTGGCCAGTTGCAGTTAATACTGCTGTGCTCTATTTTCTCATGGACAAGCTGAATTAAATCAATCCAGTGAATCATTCAAGGTTACCACTCAGGAAGAGATCAGTGTGTTTGCATGCTGCTGTTTTAATCTAGTTCTACCACTGGCTTACCACTTTCCCTCTGGTCACAGGCTGCATTTCACAAGGCAGTGCAGTGAGCAAAACCCTCTGATAACATGAGGCTCAGCGTAAAGATCCCAACTGCCTGCATTACATCCTCAGTTATCATTTACACTGGTCTGCTTGAAAAGGTAAAGCTTACTTTCACAGCCCAGTTATCTCTCCAAGTACAGCATGAACCCTGCATGAGCTTCCATTTACAGCTCTGTGTATGAACACCTGTACGTGTGGCCAAGCAGCCCACAGAGCAGTCCTTTGCCTTATGATTTTAAGGCCTCCCTTCCATGCCTTCCTGCTTCACCACAGTAAGATGGAACATGGATGAGTTCATGTACTTCTGCTTGGATCTCCTTGCTGCAGCTAGAGCTGTTCATGCTGCCAGCTGGCTCTGCCAGGCCACTGGAAAACTCCCTCCTCAGGAAAGATGTCAGTCTGAAATGCTTCCTACAAACTGTGTTTGCTCTGAGCCAGTCCAGGCTGCGTTCTCGTTAAGGACAGAAAAGCATGATGACTTCACAGACATTGCTGTGGCTGCAGAGGGGGGCACCTCTGCAGGGACAGCCAATTTTCTCTTCACTTTCCATCCTCATCTCAAACACTGGGAAATGCATCTACTTTCAAAGTAGCTCTTCATGTCCCGAGTGCTGCTGCCACATGTATATAGTCCTCTTAGAACGAGCTGAATGGAAAGAGTATTGTATAATGATCTCTCATTTAGCTTAAAGTGTCATCTTTTCCTTCACTGCATTTTGTCTGTGAGAAGTATGCTGAGTCTTGTGCAGCTGTGTTCTTGCTCTTATTTGGCACAGATCTCTTCTAAGTTTTGCACCATACCAAGAGTTTCCTTCTTCCCTTTGAAAAGAGTGAGAAATGGGTACAGAGCAGAGGAGCCCAAAGCCTATGTGGATGTGAGCCACAACTATGATGAAAATATTAACCTGATAAAAGAGGTTTCTTCAGCTTCTAGTGCATGTGCTGTGAGCCAGAAAATAAAAATGCCAAATGCAGAAGAGAAAGGGAAGACAAAGAAATTCAAATTCAGTTGCTGACCCTACTTGTTTTCAGAGCACAGAATATCTACAGTACTGAAGCATAAATCAGCCAACCAGTGAATTCCTGTCCAATCTCCTCAAGGTCATCTGGAAGTCACCTACAAGCATCTCGCACGAGGACAAGCGCAATGGCTGACTTCACCAAGGTGCCCAACACCTGCTTTGGCCAAGGCTGGGATGCTCAGAATGCTCAGAAGGCTGGGATGCTCAGAATGCTCAGAATGCTGGGCCCTGCCTTTATTTGATACATTTCTGATTGAGCTGTGTAAACAAGACACAGTTCTGTCTGGCAAAAAACACTCTATATAAATTATTTAGAAATTAACAGGTGTTAAACCAATTGCCATTGTCAGGCATGCCAACCTTAAGAACAGATCTAGCATTAAATCATGGATATCTATAGGGAGTTCCCTTGGATCATTTGATCAAATTATGCTCTTAAAAGTACACTTCAAAAATGTCATCCTGGTGTAGGAGGAAAAGAAAGAAAATAAGGCAATGAAATTAATGGAAATTTAGAGAAATGAAATGTTGTCTCACGTATTTTGACAGTGTAGGCATCAGTAGGTTTGCCAGACAGATCAGCTTCAGATTTGACTTGAGCAAATTAAGCTAATCTAAAGCACAAGCTACTCGCTAGTAATTTTCTGCGTTTTGCCTCTTGAACCACTTTATAAGTTTATTTATTTACATTATAACAGCACTGGCCATGCTTCTCCCATGTTTGAGGTCATTCCCCAGCCTTTGGGAATAAAGCTATTTGACAACATGGCCAATTTCTGGCCACAGAACTGTTTTAAGTAACAAGGTGGGCAGGCAGGAACTGCAAAAGGGGAAAAGATGTGAAGATGAAGACTGCTAAAACAATCAGGTATAGACAGCAAGAGGAAAGAGCCCTGAAATGCCTGAAGGGCTCTAACAGAGAAATCCCACTGCACCAATTGTTTAATTGTTACCTTGCTTTGCAAATAGCACTGTGTAGGCACCTTTCCTTTGCTGGCATCTGCTGCTGTACCCCACTTCTTTCAACAGTAAGACATCAGGCACAACTAGGCATAAATGAAGGATCCAGATGGTCTTTGGCACCTGCAGTGAGAAAAGATGTTTTTGTTGTTTCTTTGGATCTTTTTTGTGGTTTAACCCCAGCCAGCAACTAAGCAGAACACAGCCATTCACCCACTCCCCCCATGGCAGGATGGAGGGAAGAGAATTGGAAGGGTAAAAGAGAGAAAACTCATGGGTTGAGATAACAACAGTTCAATAGCAGTGACAACACCACCAATACAACAAAAAAAAAAAAAAAAAACAAAAGAAAAAAAAAAAAGAAAAAAAGGAGAGAAATAAAACTGAAGAAAAAGCAATGCAAATAAAAAACAATTGCTTACCACCACCAAGCCAATGCCCAGCCAGTCCGTGAGCTGCAGTCCCAGAGCCGCTGTCTCCAGCCAACTTCCACCTCTAGTTTATATACTAAGCATGACACCTTACAGTATGGAATATCCCTTTGGTCACTTGGGGTCAACTGTCCCAGCTGTGTCTCCTCTCAACATTTGTGCACTCCCAGCCTCCTCACTGGTGTGGTGGTGTGAGGAGCAGAAAAGGTCTTGACTCTGTGTGAGCACTGCTCACTAATAATTAAAACATCCCTGAATTATCAACACTGTTTTCAGCACAAATTCGAAACACAGCCCCATACTAGATGCTATGAAGAAATACCTGAGCCAAAACTATCATAATCTTAAACTGAGTTTGCTGGACTGGAGGGTGTTTGGTGGTGTTGGGCTTTTTGCCTGAGTGTGACAAATTTGAGTGAAGCATAAGAACATTTTTACAGATTACTTCAAAACAGGCTTGTACTTTATACTGTCTAGCCTCACACAACATGCTGTGACCTGATTTTGCATTATTATGATGATTTAATACAACACTGAATAATAGAGATTGTAGTGAATTCAGGTTGGAGAACCTAACCATCAGTCCTCTTGTTTGATTTTCCTAAACCTCTTTCTGACCTAAGCACCTAAATATCCTCAGTCTGGTCATGCTCCTCACCTTGACCATATGGTCCTCTACCAGAGAACAGAATAATTCTAGGCAATTAAGGCACTTACCCATATCCATTTCATCTGCAAGATCTTCAGAGGTGCAAACAAAACACTGGATGGGAAGATTTGCTAATGCTGATAGTACTTTAGATCACTGGATAATCTTTTTCCTGTGTTAGTTACTACTGAATGGAAATCAAATGCATGCATGTTAGGACTAGTAACAGATGGCACTTCTGTTCTGTGAGGAAGAAATAGGGGCAAAGGGGCAGCAAAGTTGAACCTCCCCCCTTCCCTGTCTTACCAGGATTCATTGTGTTGCCCTCCTGTTACGGTTGGCTGTGACTCTTTCTTGTTATAAAGAGATGTCAGAAGTTAGAGAGAGACAGACGATAACCTTAAATCCTTTACTGCATTTTACCAGGATTCTGAAAAATAAAAAATAAAAAAATAAAAGCCAGCTGAGGGAGTTGGAAAATGTCAGTGAGGCATTACACAAAGAACTTGATACATTTGTTGACCTTTCTTCTTCCTCCACCCTTCTCCTCTAAGATGGATTTAGTAGTAGTGAGTGCTTAGTGCTAAGTGCTTTCTTAAAAATAATTTAGATGCTATTGTCTGTCTGCCTGCCACTTGGAAAACATAGCTGTTTCAATGAGCCCCTGCTGAAACGGAAGAAAGAGCGTTTATTGAAATGCCTCCAAAAATGCACCAAAATTTCATTCTTTTCCTTGTCGGCTGAAACCCATCTTGTTCTTGCCTTTACAGTCTTTTGTTTTATTTTTTTAATTGTACCATTGTATTCAGGGTCTTTTCATTCTTTTCCGCTATTTTACGAATGGCATGTGTGGTATTAAGAGCTGAAGGCAGAGATGAGAGGAGAAGTGTTTTGAACTGACTAATTTGCAGGCAAGAAATAAAGCTCTTGTAAGGTGGTCCCAGGGGTATCTTCGCCATGAACACTATTTGAAATGACATGTAATCTGGTACATTTCAAAGGCAAAACATTTCCTATTCTAAAGTATCTTCCTGAGCCAGGGTTGGTTTACCTGTTTCCAGAGAATAATGAACTCCACTGGGGCCAAGGAAACTCCTTCTCTCCCCTCTCAAAATTCCTGTTCTTTTTCCAAGGGGCAATTGCAGCCAACAGTTTATTTCTGTCCTATCTTTTCCTGCTCTAGTGGCTCAGTGCTCCCTACTAATACACAGCTGAATGCACCTCTGGATTCACACAGCACATCCCTGTACAAAGCAATAAATAATGGTGTGGAGTTCTCTTGCTGTTTCTTTTAACAGTGGAAAATTTAGATCTGGTTCTAACAGACTTCTAAAATTTTAAGCATTTTGCTGTATGACTTTGATCTGGCAATTTCTTAAGAGAAACTGTTCCTCTTCTAGAGAAATCTGAGCTCAACTGACCTTGGAATGCTGTTTTAATACTCTTTCTCAGCACAATTCAGTGTTTGTAGCCTTATTGACATACTAAAAGGCTCACACACAGAAGTCCACATTTAATTTGTCAAGGCAGACATTTCAAAAAAGCCTTACGTTAAAATTTTGTCCATATTTTGGTGAAAGCTTAGCTGATCTTCTAAGCTGACACACTTAATCCTCATCTGTGAACGTATTCATGCACTCTGAGGAATGTTTCTATATGTTCATGATTTAAGCTTATGATATCCAGAATCTGTATTGTGTGGTTTTAAAAGATTTTAAAATATTTTAAATGGGAGATTTGGGCCACAAGTAAAACCCAAAGCTTTAGAGAAAATAAACACTGATAAATATTACAAACATTTTCTATTAATTTCATAGCTGTTCTATCCTAAAGCTTTTAGTTACAGAAAAACAAACTGATGCTTTGTGAACTCTCTGAACTTACAGCAACCACTGTTTCAACATTTACTTGATTTTCTCTCTAATTCTCCATGAAGAGAAATCAGGGTATAGTGTGTCTATAATAATGATCCTACACAGCGGTTTTTTTTTAAATAAAATCTTCAGTTACATTGGTTTTCAAAATCCACATGCTTGTGCTCAAATGTGCTCTACATAGTATTTTTTCAAGTGTGGACAATGATGAATAGATTATGCTGCTTGAACAGAGATACTGAAGGCCCCTGGGAAGGACAAGCAAAAAAGATGGAGTTGGAATATCCAGAAAAGAGATATTTCTAAAAGAATGAAAAGCAAAAAGTTCTATCTCCTGAACCCAATAATTATGTGAGACAGCAGACTGTCTAGGATGACTTGTGCTGTCAGTTTGCATTACAAGCCTCAGCCCTTTGAAGGACAGATTTTGCACTGTGAGTGACCCTAACGTGTGTTATACTTGGATCTCTACCAAATAGAAGTCATAATAAAATACTATGCCCCATAGAATAGGCCTTACACCTTAACTGTTGTTTTTCACAACAGTCTGTCAACTGTAATTCTTAATTTATGGGAACTTCGCCCAAATGTAACTTGGAACAAAATGTGTCCAGTGTTTACAAAAACTTCCAAAGAAGGTAGGGCTATTCCCCAGTAGTGTTTATCTCCTGGATTGGTCCCTTACAGATTCCGAACCACTAGATTCCTCTGGACCATATATAGATGCTATTACTAAGAACCACGAGAACACATAGCATTTACCATAAAAGAAATTTCTACTGAGTTAGTTAGCAATACCACTGGTGTTGGAAATTCTATCAAAACCAGAGAAATAAACGAGGCCTTTGTCACATGTTAACACACAGATGGCATTACATCTATAACACTTAGTATCTGAGGAAAGTTACAGCGCTTGACTCAGCTGCCTGGGTGACTGCTGGCTGCTTTCTGAAATCAGAGGTAGCTTGCCTGCTGTTCTGTATTTTACTAGTGCAAGTCATCAACCTTGCACAACTATACTTGAGTGATAGATTTGACCCTACTGAAAACCTGCTAACCCTCCTCTGACCAAACTGCCTCCCAATGCCAGTGTAAGGACTTCTGCTTAGCCTCTTTCAAGTGCCCTTGTGTAATGTCACCTTTAATGAGACATTAATTTATTTTGTTTCTTTAGATAAATTTCTAACATATCTACTTTGGTGTGCATTGAAATATTTTTATAGGCGATATGTAGGGAATCCATTAGCAGGAATCAATTGTTTCACTTCTTCGTTGCTTTTCAGACACAGGGGCATTTTGCTAATACAAAATTCCTGGCCATAGAGCAGTACGGTATCCTAGCTCAGCTGATTTATTGAAACTATATTTTTGAGGGCTGTTTTTTTCCCTTTGGTGACTTGTGTAATGTGGTGCCATTTAAACGCTGCATGTAGAACACATGCTCACTTGAACACTTCATTATTTGGCTCAAAGTAGTACAGTATATTGTTCTGTTTAGGGAACAAGTTTGAATTTACCATTGACTCTGGAGAACTTCACAATGTATCGTTGGGTCAAGGACAGGAAGCTGCAGCAGAAATAGCTATGGAAAAGGCATCAAAAGAAGGCCACTGGGTTATACTTCAAGTAAGTCAAAGCTCTTCATTACATCAGTGCTGCACTGCAGTGTTAAAAACTGAAGCTTTTCAAAATAACATGTGCCTAGATGAAAGAGTACTTAATACTGATTTAAAACTTCCTTTGTCTTTGCCACAAGGGAAGCACATAACTTCATCTGTATATGGAAGTATCACTGAATATCACATAAAATATGAATTGCGTGTAGGGAGTCAACTAACATATTTTCCCAAGCACATGGTATCTGATTTACTAATTTATTATCCATTAAAAAAAATCCTTTAGTAAATAAATGTGTAGCAAAAAGAATTGTTACACTGTATAATCAGATGAATAGATACAAACAGGGAAGATTGCTGTCATTATGCAGTGTATTGTGCTAAACAGATGCACACGATTTTTTTCAAATATTGTGCAATATGAAACTGCTTCCTTATGTCTGGGTTTTTCTTGTATCAATAAAATGTTTCAAATTTCAAATCAATAGCTCACTGGGAGGCCTATTTTTTCCCTCCATTCTCTCCCCCCCCCCCATCTTTGAATATTTATTTTGTAGCAAAGTGGCTGAACACATTAGAGAAATTGCTGAAGAAAACCAGGGAAGGAAGTCAGCAGGGTGATCGGTTTTGAGTGTGAGGAACCTGCCGCTTCTCCTAAAGCCTATCTCATTCCAGGGTGGATTTGGGAAACCTCCCATTAAAAAAACTGATAAACTACAACTTGTAATAATGCCTGATTACCATGCTGCACTGGATAAATTTGACTAGTCAAGCAAAACACCACAGAAATAAAACTTCAAAAATGTGAGCATTGAACTTGTCCTTTTAAAGCCACTTGAAATGGTGAAGTCAGTAAAAGCCTTTACAGGTTATGCAATAATAAAGCAGGATGCACTTAATTTCTTAAAGATTTGTTCACATTTCCTAGAGTGACTGCACATCTATCAGCAAAAAGAAAAAAAAAAAACAAGAAACTACTCCTTTTCATTTTAAAGCATCACATACAGTTTCTAGTTAAGTACATGCCTGTGCACATGGGAATGAAAAATTTGCAGTCACTACAGTTAATTACTGTAGTACATAATAAGAATTTATTTTGGTTTTGTCTAGCTCAGTTTGATTTATCTTGAAATGTGAAACCATGCGGTTTTGTGTCTCTGCAATAATTTTTACATATTCTGAGCATGTCGTGCACAGGAATTAGGTCTTCAGCAGAGGTAAGTGAGTGAGGTTCACTACACCAACTTATATTGCTAAGGGTTTAGTCCAAAATGTTTGGATAGTACATGAGAGGAGATCGTGGTTTAACTACTAGGTTATGATATTTTCCTCCGTCCTTTTTAATCTTTGTTTTAGATGGCTTTTAATTAAAGCAATTTTTGTTACTGACTCTTAAAAAATACAAACACAGGTGTATATAGGTAGTAATCATAAGCTATGATCAAAGATATGGTCAAAGAAATCGAGTATCTCTTTGGCATACATATGTGTACTAAAGAAAAGAGCATCAATCCGAATGCTATGAAACTCTCCAATTCCAAAAAAAAAACCCAAAAAAATTTTTGAAAAAAATTGCTTTTCGACAGTGTATTCTAAAAAACCTCTCTCAAAATTACAAAGGCTTTTCTTCTCTTCCTCTTGTTTAGAATAACCTCTTCCAGCAATAAACATGGGAAGAACCGCCAGCCACCCGCGCAGCGGAGGGAATGTCACCCAAAACAGACACACGCACAAAGAAAGCCGCGGCTGCAGCCCCGGCCACCACACGTTTGTCGCCAACTTCTGCCGGCGGCTGCGGCTCCACCGGCCCCGCCACGGCCCCCGGCCGGGCCCGGCCCCTCGGCCGGCGGGCACCGCCTTCCCCGCGCCCGCACAGGTGCGCTCGGGGTGCCGGGCAGTGCACCCCGGCCGGCGGCTCTGCCCGAGAGGTCGTAACCTCCTGGCTCCCCCGCGGTACCTGCGGGGCGCCCCGGGCAGCCACCCGTGCCCGTGCCCGTGGCCGTGCCCATGGCCATACCCATGGCCGTGCCCCCGCCCGTGCCCTTCCCCGAGGCGCGGCGGGCCGGGACGCGTCCGGAGCGGCGGCGGCGCGTTCCCGGAGCCAGAGCGCCCCCTGCCGGCGGCCACCCCGGCGGTGCCGTGAGGAGGCGGAGAGCGGCTGTCCCCGGCCCCGGGGGAGGGAGCCCCGGGGAGAGCGCGTACCCCCCGGCCCGGCCCCGGGCAGCGCTGCGGGGCTGTGACGGCAGCCCCGACCTCCGGGGGAGGTTTACCTCTCGCAGACGCTCGCGTTAACGCTGGAGTGGGGGCGTAGGGGATTCCCCAGGCAGGGCCGCGCCCCCGGCACCCCGCTGCCAACACCCAGGTGCCCGGCGGGGAGAGCCCGTAACCCGGCCCAGAGCCTCCCTCCCGGGCCCCTGCCTGTGTGAGCTCGCTCATTTCCAGCCCAGAGGCCAGCGCGGCTGCGTCGGAGTCAGCAAAACCGAGGCGCATCCTGCACTTTCTCCCGCAGTTCCCACCGCGGGGACAGGGGTGTGACACAGGCAGGAGGCAGCCCCGCAGAGGTCACAGCCCTGCGCGGCTGGGGCGACCCGGCCGACCACAACCCCGGGGTCCGCCCGCCGAGCCGGGGCTTGTGCCTGGGGAAAGCAAACATGGGCATGAACGGGCACGCTCTGCTACTCATTTAAATGGCCACAAGCACACGGCTCTTCCTGAGGAATTACATTTTAAATAGACCTAGCCGTTTAATAAACCAGCCCCTGGCTCCCTGCAGCGGTGACCTCTGGTCCCTTAGCAATGCAAAGATTCCTTGCAGTGCTGTGCCCGCAGGGCTGGGGCCGAGCGGCGATAATGACCGAGAGGCCGTGGGCGACAAAACTATTTCGGTAAGAGGGAGGCAGAAAAGTCCTCTCCCTTCCACCTCTGTGGGAGGCATTTGGTGATTATCGCCGCCGGTGGCGGTGGCCACGCCTGGCGGACGGAGGGACCCTCACTGAACTCGGGGTTTGACAGATGGTGATGGTAGCAGGTAGCAGGAAAGCCCCTTCCCAGTCCATGCACGCCGAGGGTGGCGGAGAGGGGTGGCTCACAGCCCCTGTCCTCACTTAACACATTTGCCATCTCACCTCCTCCTACTCCCCCGTAGTCCCTAGGAGGGCGGGTGTAGGAAGCTCCCAGCGCCGCATCCACACCCTGTCCCTGGGATAGAGGCACGCCGAAGAGGGAGGCGGGCGTGCAACAGGCCCTGGCACACAAGGCAGCAAGTCTTGCGCTCCCATCCCTCCTCCCAAGCCGCCGCTGCCCCCAGCTCACCTGCAAGCCTCGCACCATCCGGCCGCAGCTCTCCGTCCCCGGCCGTCAGGAGTCTCCCGCTGCGAGGAAGGAAGGAGAAGCATCCGAGGAGACATGGGGAACAAAAGGACAAGATCAGAAAAAGGAATAAAAGAAGGAAATGTAGCGAACACTAAAAACAAGAGGAGGAATTTTCCCCGGGGGGAGGAGGGAGAGGGAAGTGCCACTTACATGAGCTTTTTTTCCCCCTACAATTTCTGCAGAAATTCTGACAATGCACGTGCTCGTTTTCCCTTTCCCATCCCACACAAACCTGTTGTTGTTTTACTTTCATTATTTCACTTTGTTGCATCAGAAATGCTGAATCATAAAACGGGGGTTAGTGAAAATGGTATTTATCTTACAGGAATAAGCCCCACATTATTTTAAAGATCCCCACGCTACTGCTGTTATTATTATTATTATTATTATCATCATCATCATCATGCATCTTGGCAGGTTGAAAGGTATCTCAGAACAGTAAGAATTCAGCAGTAATTTAACATCCCACAGCAGTACTTTAAAAGCATCAAATAGCATTTTGAATTTTAAGTCAGTACAAGTGTAAATAAATGGATGTACTCCCACGTCTGTTGTTTTTAAACTTGTGGTGATACTAAAATATTTGCCTAACAGCTTTGAGTTGCAGCAGAATTTCAGCTCATATATACAAATACGTGTGATATTGAATTAAAGCATTTGTCATTCTTTTTCCATAAAAGACACAATTTGGTTCTCAGCAAACTATTTGAAATAGAAATTATGATGATGATACCACAGCTCCATTTTATTTTATGGTACCGTATTGATTTTCAAATAGACAATACATGTATTTTTGTAATGGTCTAAAAGAAGATATTCTGCCTTTTTATTTTACAGTCCTTATGCTATTACCTGCTTTCATTTCAATAAAGGATGCCATTTTTCAGAGATGCTACCATAAATTGCTTCATTTAATAAGTTGCTACACAGAATAATAATGTTACACCAGAGAGCAGCACTTGGTAATTTAGAAGAAATAATATTTTTCTTTTAAAATATTTCTGCCTCTTTATTTTTTAAATTAAAATTATTTTTCTGCTGTTTTCTTTTAGAAGGATAATCTAATTATTAGAAAATTCCATTTTCTTTTTCTTGCAAGCATTGGAACTTGGGTGTGACATAAAGAGGCTAATTAAAATGGGGAACAAATTAGATTAATTTCCACGGATATAAAAGTGATATAAAAGTCTTGTTCTCAACAGTGACTCCATAATAGAACAATTTCATTTATGCCTAAGCAGATCCTTATTCTGTCTAGTGAGGATTGCCACCAGTGTCTTACTGACAAGGTTTTTATTATTTCTTTGACAGCTTGATAGTAAGTCAGCGCTTGCTTCTGGGTTTTCACTCTCTTCAAACCTGGATTATGAAGGCTACTATAAAAATATGGATAAAATGCTACCTCCCCAAAGCCCCATCTGTTATGGCCTGCACCCCAATGTGGAGATTGCTTTTGTAATAACTGCAAACAACATGCTCCATCCATATGCTATTAGAGCTGCAATTCAAATACTCAGTCACTGGGAAAGGAGTCTCCCAAGCTGTGGAAGACAAGGTCAGTCAAAACATAGAGCAGGCTGCAAATTTGTCACAAGACGGTGTGATGTCAGTGGTTTTATGTTTAGGGGCTTTTTTTTCTCTCCTATGGCCTTTTTTCTCTCTAATTCAATAGAATTAGATATTTTCATACCTGTTTTTTATAGGGATTCAATCTGAAATTTGCAATGAGGGATCTCTAGTATATGTGAGCCATAAATATATGCACTATTTTGCACCACAAAGAAAAAAAATCTTGCTGGACTGTTACAATATATTAATAGCGTTAGGCCATTTAGGATCCTTTGTTAGGTTGCAAAATGCTATTATTTCCAAACTATAAGGCAGAATTTGCTTTTCTTCCTAACAGCATGGTCCTGCACAAGTCTTCCGCTCCTTCTCTATTTCACAGGATAAATACTCCATATCCTTCATTCTGTGACATAAAGGCAGTATCCTTTCACTACATAACATTTATAATTTCCTTTACATTTATGCAGAAGTGGATACACAAGACACTTGCCTCATGCAATGTGGTATCTCTTGAGGATGAAGGCAGAGCTAAATGACATGGAGAAAAAAAAATCATTCAGAAGAAAGTGAGATCAGCTATTTTATCCAAACACCAGAAGAATGCTACTCACATAAACTGATTTGTTTTCCAGAATATGAGATTGGATCTGCTGATATATGAGGTAAGGTATTCTCTTCAAGAACTTAATTTAGGTTTGAAGATATGTGTGCTTTGCTTTACTAATCTCAGGGGATGCATGGGTTTAAACAGCATGAGTCTAGATGCCAGTAACAGGCACTGTGAGTGATAACTTGGTAAGCTTATTTCTGATTTCATTGATTAAAAAATTGTGCTTTCATAAACTGCCTACTCCAAACATGTAACTCATCTCCATATATCAAATAATTTGTTTTAATTTGTGTGAAAAAAATTATCATGAAACTACTCAGGAGACTGAAATCCTCTATTTCTCTGTGTACTAGGAAGCAAAATGCAAAGCCTCTGTTTATGGTCTGACTCCTGTTCCAGTGCAGACACGGAGGTAAGGGTCAGACATTCTTCTCTTCTGCCATTTGGCTCTTCTGTTTACAACTGCTAAGAGATCTGGTTGCTAGATACTGTGTGTTCACATGTGTTTTGGGCAATCCACAGGAGAGAAGGGAGTTGCTTGATGCCTCAGAGACCCTCTGGTGCTGAAAACAAACTCTGCTTCATATAGATACCCGCTGGATAAGGGTCACAGTTCACATTGTGTTAAATGCCATCAGTATGTGACATTTGGTTGTCATATGGAGATGGCCATTAACTGCAGGTAAAGGTGCAGTATCAGTAACACCCAAGTCCTGCCCATCTCACTGGCATCTATTGAGAGTGATGAACAAGGTCAGAGGGACATGGTGAACTGATCACATATCTTTGGCAGTTTTTGGTAATAACACGTCTCTCAACATCAACGAAGTGTTGAGTAGCAACATGTAATGTTCTTGACCATAGACAGCCAAATTTTCATAATATCTAGAAATCTCAAACAGTGATGTACCTGCTGCACTAACATTTAATATATATTCAATCATGGAACTGGGCAACCAAGTAGCTTGATAACATTTTACACAGGCAATTGTGGTACATGCATGCAGAGCTGTAGTTAATGTATACCACTCCAAAACTAGGTACTGAAAATCTAATACACAGGGCTAGTATTTTTAAGGGACCTCCTTTTTCACCACCTGAAAAATTACCTTTCTTTCGATCTTTAATTCATAGTAACAAAACATGGGCATTCAAATAGCCATTAGCACAAGCAAGCCAGCAGAATAGTAGCTTGATTGCATGTACAATTTTCTGTGGGATATCTGAAAGCAAGTTAGTAATTTGGCCCCCTTATCATTTTCTCCCTGTACATATGCGTAGGTGGGTGCTTCCATGCGTATGTATATGAATTACTATATCATATAATTACTTAATGCAATTAGAGTGATTCTAAGAAATACAGAAAACCCAGAACCTACACTCTTGTTTTTCTGACTGTTTCCCCTTTTTAAAAAATAAATTACTCACCCCAGTTGCAAGAGCCAAAATATTCTTTACACTTGATGATTTAGCTACCTTATGTGTTTTTACTGGGGAAAAAAAAGCCCTCTATCATTTATCATGTCATCTTATCACAGTCTCTTTGTGAGACGCAAATAGCACACTAATGTTTTCTTTTGTTAGGGTGAGTTGGCAATCTCCTCAGAGATGGAGCAACTACAGACAGCTCTTTTTTTTGATAATCTTCCTGACACTTGGATGAGACTGGCTTATCCATCAACATACAGTTGCTCAGTGGTAAGTTGCATGCCAACAGTCATTCAGTATGGATGGCACTTCATGTCCATCATAAAAAAATAGAATTCAAACTAAAGAATTTTTTTGGCAAATATCTTACCTTCTTGTGTAACTCAGAATAGCTTTTTATCATAAACTGATATTACCAGTGTTATGAAAAGCAGAAAGAGCCTTGCATTTACCTTGCCAATTACTGCAGCCTTTGAAAGATTTCTCTAAAATTTGCATTCCCACTTCTTCCTTGCTTGCTTTTGTCTCGAGCTGTGTGAATTGATCAAAAAGATTTGACAAGTGCTGTAGTGCATAGTATCTGCTACTAAGAAGACCAAACTTGGTTTCTTGTGTCTTTTGGGATCAGAGTTTGTAACAATAGAACGGTACTGCTCTGAGCTCAAGGGTGAAATGGTCATCAGAAGTAGTAGTAATTAACAAAGCAGCTTGCATTAAGAACATAGAAAAGTTTCAGAGCAAGTAATGGGGATGTCATTTTTCTGTTCATCTTATTTTAATGCATCTTAAGATGTGTCCATCTACCTAGTCTCCACAACTGTTTTGTAATACCAAAGATGGAACTGAAAACAAGAAGTGAAAGCCATCCAATGCTGGCAGGTTATTTACTTGCTGACATACATTCAACTCTCTGCAGGAGCTGCCTGAGTAAGGCAAAGAGCCACTGACTGATGGAGTGAACGAGGACTGGAGAGCTGACCAAAGGACAGGAAAGCTCTTCCAAGCACAAAGACAGGTAGCACTAGAAGGCAAAACAAGCCCACACTTCTGAGATCAGTACAGACTTCTGAGAGATCAAAAATGGAAGAAGAAATCTTGTTCATCAGAAGAGACATTGAGAAGAGCACCAGAGGTACACTGTAGTGAAGATCAATCATAGCTTTACAGAATTAAATGCTCTTTTAGCTTCCCTTGATGGAAAACTAAACCACCATAGAGATACTGTGATGTCTGTGATAAATATATGTCCTGAAGACAGAAAGCGTTGCCTAGGGGATATAATGCAGTAATGCTAAATTACAAGCTGTTTTCCTGAAGGACAACACAGCTGCTTTCTTTAAAAAAATGCACGGGGGAGTCAAGCTGGACCTTATACTCATGTTTGGACAAAAG